CCATGACTTCCCACAAGGTTTGAGGTACAAAGGACCTATTCTGCCATGACTTCCCATAAGGTTTGTGGTACTAAGGACCTATTCTGCCTGACTTCCCACAAGGTTTGAGGTACTAAGGACCTATTCTGCCTGACTCCCCACAAGGTTTGTGGTACAAAGGACCTATTCTGCCATGACTACCCTCAAGGTTTGAGGTACTAAGGACCTATTCTGCCATGACTTCCCACAAGGTTTGAGGTACTAAGGACCTATTCTGCCATGACTTCCCACAAGGTTTGTGATACAAAGGACCTATTCTGCCATGACTTCCCTCAAGGTTTGAGGTACAAATCACCTATTCTGCTTGACTCCCCACAAGGTTTGTGGTACAAAGGACCTATTCTGCCATGACTTCCCTCAAGGTTTGAGGTACTAAGGACCTATTCTGCCATGACTTCCCACAAGGTTTGAGGTACAAATCACCTATTCTGCCTGACTTCCCACAAGGTTTGTGGTACTAAGGACCTATTCTGTCTGACCTCCCACAAGGTTTGTGGTACTAAGGACCTATTCTGCCTGACTTCCCACAAGGTTTGTGGTACTAAGGACCTATTCTGCCATGACTTCCCATAAGGTTTGTGGTACAAAGGACCTATTCTGCCTGACTTCCCATAAGGTTTGTGGTACAAATCACCTATTCTGCCTGACTTCCCATAAGGTTTGTGGTACAAAGGACCTATTCTGCCATGACTTCCCACAAGGTTGGTGATACTATGGACCTATTTTGCCTGACTTCCCACAAGGTTTGTGGTACAAAGGACCTATTCTGCCCAACTTCCCACAAGGTTTGAGGTACAAAGGACCTATTCTGCCTGACTTCCCACAAGGTTTGTGGTACTGAGGACCTATTCTGCCTGACTTCCCACAAGGTTTGTGATACTAAGGACCTATTCTGCCTGACTTCCCACAAGGTTTGTGATACTAAGGACCTATTCTGCCTGACTTCCCACAAGGTTTGTGATACTAAGGACCTATTCTGCCATGACTTCCCACAAGGTTTGTGATACTAAGGACCTATTCTGCCTGACTTCCCACAAGGTTTGTGGTACAAAGGACCTATTCTGCCTGACTTCCCACAAGGTTTGAGGTACTAAGGACCTATTCTGCCCAACTTCCCACAAGGTTTGTGGTACTAAGGACCTATTCTGCCATGACTTCCCAATAGATTCATTATCGTTACTATTTATATACATGCAAATGATAATCAAGGTACAATTCACATAGCGGGAATGTCACTATTCCAATTAGATTCCAGTACACTGAGTCATCCATAATCTATTTATAATGTCAGTCAGTCTCATTACAGTAAGCTAATGATTTGAATAATTAGATTTGCATCACAGCTGAAAAGACGCAAAAACTAATGAACACACTGATTAGCAACAACAAAGCGAATATTTGTCAGGTCCATACCCACGACTTCACTGTACACACTTAATAACCTGGGTCCCAGACCACAAAGTGAAAACTTACCGTCTTCGACGTAATAAGCGCCCCGCTCTAATAAGCGCCCACAGTCCAGACCACAAAGTGATCACAGCACTATGTCTATTGTAAAAGTATGGTAAAGGGAAAAAACACTCCAATTCTCAGTCATCTTGCTGGTGCCATTTTAATTAGTCAGTGTATTCACCAGATGCCAGTAGCATCAGCGACCCAACAAACTGGGCTTCGGGCAACCTTGTTGGCAGTGAGGGTAAATCCTCTTGAATATTCGCATTTGATTGGATGATGCTTACCGTATTTTCTTGAGTATAGTGCACACTTTTTTTCCAAAAACACAGCTGTGTAGAAGGGGGTGCGCATTATACACAAACGAATTAATGAGTTTTGATGTTTTTCCCCCATGGAAAGACATTACCGTAGGGACGTAACACCGGAAATACCATGTCAACAAATCCATACTGAAGTACGCAAATTAATCATGTAATTACGCTGTCTGGCTATAAAAAGTGTTCTTTGTATATCTAGACTATAACCTTTCACCTTGCAAAATCTGTCAGGGCGTGTAAATGTGTATGTACTTAAACTCCATCATCCAATCCTTGGTTGATAGGCTAGTAGTATACGGACAATGTAATTGTCTTAAGTGACAACCAACAAGAAATCCAGCGCAAGTGTCATATGGGCTGGAATAGGAAAACAAACGATTCCTCTTGGGGGCAAAGGTCATTTAATAATGACAAATATTTAATCGAAACATAAAACCTCCAGGTGGGAGAGTGGGTAAACAAACAGACTGAGAAAATTCACCAAATTCCTGAACAACATGTAGTTTGCATGTTACATTGGTGCCTGTGACGTGTCCCTTGCAACAATAAAAAACAAATACCGCTTACAGCATAATCAGCACTCTACAGTCTGGATTGTCTCCCCTTGACTGTTAAATTAATGGACACTAAAACAGATGCCATGGCATTGCCGTTTAAATTAAAATAAACTAGGGTTTACTTCTTACAATAATGTAGTTTAGTATACAGCAAAAACTTGTATATATTATGTTTGCAACAATAGAGTTAAGTTCATATATCTTGTCTTCCATGTTCTGTGGTATAGCCCTACATGTGTGTATTTGTCGCTATTCACTTGATACTCAGTTAATGACTTTATTACAGATAATTACTGGTAGAACTACTCTGATTACTACTCCGGCAACAGATATTGTTGCATCTGTCGTATGACAAGTCTTGAGAAGGTTCTAATATTTATTCAGGAACGTTACAGTCGTGGATAACATCTAAGATGGCTGACCCCGGTGAGCACAAGCGTGACCCCGGTGAGCACATGAAGAGTTACCCAACAGAGTTATCTCCCCTATACCAATATGTGCCTGCATAGCATATATAACACAGATATCAGTTGTTCCAAAGTGCTACACTTATGGTTATTTATATATAAATATATATAGTAAATGTTGCAACTAAAATAACTCGATATTAAAAAACAGTATTTCTGATACAATAATAGTCTTAGATACAATTCATCCGATCGTTGCATCAAAAATTACATTTATTGGGTATTTTTTAACTGTATCACCCGGTACATTGATAGTGGACCCATGTTACACATTCAGTCAACCCGTGTCACACATTCAGTCAACCAGTGTTACACATTCAGTCAACCAGTGTTACACATTCAGTCAACCAGTGTTACACATTTAATCAACCCAAGTTACAGGTTCAGTCAACCTGTGTTACATATTCAATCAACACAATCGATTGTCCATAAGCTCCACTCTGTGATTAATCATCTATACACATAATATCAATGAAGAAGCCCAGTGATGTTGCGAGTTTTCAATATTTGTTTACTAAATGTAGCCTGAGGTGGCACATTTCGTAGCAAGCAAGGTTCTGAAAGCATTTCTATTTTCAATATATATTTTCATCACCTTTATGTATTCCTTGTTGTAGGGCAAGGATGGTATTATGTGCATACACAATCAATCTTTGTCAATAGTCAGAACATTATTGAACATGTCAAACTCAATGTTCAATCTACAATTGCTGAGAAATGTGCCAGAGATTCTTCAGATTCTGCAGGATCAGAGGTCTACATTGAGACTAAATCAACTTGGAGAAGGTTATCATCATCACAAACAATAATGCAGTCAATTAGGGATTAAAGTCTTCAGGGACAAGACCTTTGTCTTATCCAAAGAGCTCATAACACGAGGCTACTCTTCCTGAAAAAATATGGCAGAATTACATCTCCATCACAAAAGCAAAGATGGCTACAGTGGGATGCAAACTTGGAAATAAAAAAACAGAAACTATAACTATAATTATAATACATCTCAAGCACAACATGTAGTTGGGCTTTGCAGGTAACTCAGGTCGAATTGGGCCAGAGTTGGACCCCAGAGTAGGACCCCAGAGTAGCTAGGACCCCAGAGCAGGACCCGGGTACCCACAGGCAGGTCTACCCCAACCCCTGATTAGTCACATGATATATTGCACAATGACAATAACAATAAAACTCCATGCTTAAACTACAAGCCGCTTTTGTTGACATTCCTTTCTGACTTTTATATGTTTGAGTAAAGATAAAGCTTCAGTCAACTTCAGTATATGCATAATGAGATCGTTTTATATGAGTATCTTATAGTTTTGCCAGGGCTCCGATAAAGCAATTCCCAATCAGACATTCTGTACGGATCTCTTGAGACCTACAATGGGTACCCTCATAGAGTCCGGTAATAGAGAAACAGGTAACCGGAGAGATAAGTTGGACTCTCCCAGCCTCAACATGCAGATATCAATCAATAAATAGATCTAACTAGAAACAATTATGAATAATATGCAAAGATAATAGTGATGCTAAATATTTCCAAATAAGCTCTGCTACTAATGTTACCACAGAGCCAAACATTCTACTTCTTGAGAAAAAGTTAACTCTATCATTTATAAACTAGGCTATTTTTTATAAATCTGAAGTATTACGTGTGTGCATAGTTTATTCATTACAGAAACTGGCTGCAGATCTTGAAATATAATGTGCTCATATAGATACTGCACCAGCTGGGTTTTTTACAACACTACTTTCATCTATACTTATAAAACATATGACACTGTCAATTGACATTGTGAACAAGTGCTTCAATTCATAAAGAATAAAGCTATGTCATGTTCTAAATATATAGGTATCTGGTCATGCACAGCCAAAAAGTATGTATGGGAATTAAAAAGAATTCTGATGCACGCTTTGGCATGCCTTGCCTGAATCAAAAACATACTGGTATCATTAACCGCATCATGACTCACTGCAAGTATTTCAATTAACAATCTGTAAACAGCACTGAAACAGCGTCGAGCCTGGCCTAATTTCTCGTCTCATTATCATATAAATAGATGTCATTCTGTGTAATGATTCATGCAGACAGTTTTCAATGCCAACGTGGCGATGTCATTTGTATGGATGCTGATTGTATATTGGAAAATAGATGCAACTATTTCACTTACAGCTTGCGTTACATTTAAATGCTTCGTCAAGCCAGCGTCTTCTGCTTTTCACGGCAGCAGCTGTCAAAATTTCTAGGTCACGTAGAGTTATCTGCCCATAGTGGACGAGGGGGCTAAAATAAAGATCCGCGAACGAAACGAAGTTAGTTGTATAGTCTGTCTTACAGACCCTGATACAAATATATCAAATATAGCCCATGCAAGTCTATAATGTTTGGCAAGTCTAGATTTCTGCAGTTTAAAGAGAGTCTCTGGGCTCCTTTTGTATTAATTTTTAAAAAAAAGTTAATTTAACAACTATTTCTTTTCTGTACGATATGTTCATTTTTGTGTGTATATTAGTTGTATGAAAGTACCCTAAAAACATCTCGGCGTTTGTTTAGCCCAGGTGTTTTATCACTGCATGTTACGTTAACTCCTGCAGCTGCCAAGGTAAGGAGTCAATGTGGGGTGTCTCCACGTCCTGCTACATCTGCCATATCTAAGAACTAAGAACTCAACTACCCATGCTATCCAGGTAGCAGGGTGGCCCAGCGGTCAATGTTGGTTCACAGGAGGCCGTATCTAAAAATAGACGCCCTCATGCATATTTATGACCATCTCCACACGCGAGCCGTCATGAATATGCATGAGGGCGTCTATTTTTAGATACGGACTCCTGTGGTTGGTTCTGCTGTCGTAGGTTCGAATCCCTCATACGATCCGAGCATGATTTTACTCTTTCACCACAACCTCCGTACAAGTAGGCAGTAATGTGATTGGCATTGGTGGAATTGATCACTTACTTTCGGAAGAGAGGACATGGATGGCCTCATTCACCGCAATCCACTCTGCAGAAGTAGGCCCTACTTCAAGATAGCCGCGCGACAGGCTTCTGGGCGTATGATTGAATCCCATATTCACGCCGATTATCATTATATACTTTCAGTGTAAAAAAATGAGTTTTCTGAAGTTGAGAAAAGTGATATTTTCATTACGGAACTATTGTCATACAAGAGTTACCTCCTCTTAAATTGTCTCCCTTTTTCGTGTCACCCGTACACAAACTGTTGACGTTCTTTTTACGTTTTTTCCACATTGACAAGGCAAAATAATGACGTGTATTCTTTCGCTTCCAACAGCAGTTTTCTAGTTTTCAAGAATATGTTTTGTTCAAGTTGATTTTGTATATAATCATATCTAAATATATGATTAAGAATTTCGTGACCCTAAATATTTTGCAAACACGAAACTACTTTTTAAGTCGCAATTACAAGGGGTGGTGAACCGTTCCTGTGTTAGGTAGGGAGAATTTACGTTTCAAGGTTTTACGTATTAAATGACATAATTTAATTCCCCGGTAGACATCTACACAAAAAGTATGAAATAGATAGTATATTTCATATGTCTGGTGAAATATCATGTTTCTCTTCTTGAGTGAAGGGGAGAAAGGAGAAAGGAGATATTTACACGAGTGGCAACGTTAACGCAACTCGTGTAAATATCGCCTTTCCCCCGTCACTCGATGAGAGACACATCTTATGCTCTATTTATCCGTCAGAACCTTCCCCATCCATTAACATACATCAGTCTTTCCTCACACGAAGTGGGTTTGTGACTTTAGTTACATGAGTTCTTGCAACTGGAATAAGATTTCGATTGTTACATTTAGCGTAGGTGTTGTTTTTTGCGTTAAACCCAACACACAAACTCACTATGAGGTCCAACGGTGTAAACCTAACACCTGCAATCCCCGATGTGGGGTGCCGTATAATTACAGTATAACAGAGATACTAATGAATAAAATTGTCATAACAAGCACAGGAATCGGAACTTACCGCTTGAAGTTGTTCTCAACTTATTGATTGAAGGATCGACGGCGGCTGAGAAGCGAGGTCTTTCAACTGTGTGACCTTGACCCCTAGTGACGTAAATAAACAGCAGGAAGCCTGACTCTCTGACCAAAGGTGATTCACCTACTGCTGTGAAAATAGAAGATCGACGTAGGTGTTGTGTCAGGTATTCCACAGTGGCAAACATATTGACGGGCAGTTATATATGTGAGACGTGTTAAATTACTGTTATGTGTCCTAACTGTATCGGTAGAGTGAGTGGGTGCGTTGGATTTAACGCCGTTTTACTGCGGCGAAAGTGCATTTGCCTGCTTATTGTTATCGTCAAATATTAAACCATCTTGGTATATACATACAATATCGGTTTACCACACAACAAGAAATATATATATAATCCTTACAATGGTAAATCTAGACAACGTTTGTATCTTGTTGCAATATATTTACAAATCTTTGTCCATGTTGATTTGAAAATACGAACTATTGGACCAAATTGTCTCTTCAGTTTTGGGTTCTATTCCCCTCATGGCTACAATATGTGAAGCCCATTTCTGGTGTCTCTCCTGCATGATTTTGATGGGATATTGCTAAAAGCAGCGTAAACTTACACCCACTCACTCACTCATCATTCCAAATGTAGAAACAGAATACCATGTTTGTTTAGTTTGTCCGTTTTATGACGATCTTAGAAGAAACTTTCTGCCAAGTTATTATTATACATCTCCATCAGAGCATAAATGTAAAGTTTTATTTACCACCAGTAATGCTTTCACAATCAATAATCTTGCCAAGTTTACATTCTTTGCTCTTTAAATGAGGAGCAAGCAGTTGTCCATTATATAAACTACTAATTCTACCACCATATGTATATGGTCTCAGATACCCTTGTTCTGATAAGTATTGATATTACTACATGCACTTGTGGCGCAACATGTTTGAATGCTTGAATATATATTGTAAAACGGGCCTGTGGCCTGATTTACTGAAATAAACCACTACTACTACTCACTCATTCTTCAGAGTTGATTGCCATCGATTGCTTCATCGAGATATCTTATAAAGATACAATAGGAATTTGAATTTCACGCTGATCGAATGTTTTACACACAATGCATATGGTGAGCTATCATAATTTCGTACTCGATGTAATAATAATAATGATGATGATGATGATGATGCGCCAAATCCACCGTTAAAATGCGCAAAGTGCGACAGTATTACCCCAGTCATAGGCTTAGTGTTTGCTCGATTTCCATTCTCTTAGGAGTACACAACCCAAGCTGTCTGTGAGGCGTTAGAAGGTTAACAATAACCATCTCGTCCTACCGGGTACCCATTCTTTTCACTGATGGGAGACATATTTCGAACAGTCATTTGCCAAAGAGACACTACATGTGCTCCAGGGTGGCGCAGGGCCGAAACCCCAGAGACTCTCAGGAGTCAAGCTGCCGTCACTCATCTAACTACTTTCCGCGACCAACGATATATAGTGTCAGTTGAAGAAAACTAACACATATGCCGCTGCTGTGTTTCGGGTATATTAAAGTTATGAAACAATGATTGGATGACACAATTTGCAAATACTGTTGCGACAGAGAGTTTTATGTTGTATAAACGCTTCCGAACACTGATTGCTTCGTAGAGTGCATTTTACGAGTGCTTGTATCGGTTCCGAATTCGCGCTATTTTCGTTCGTCGTTCTGTATTTTGTATAATTCCCACCGGATGTCTTCTGGGCTGTATTACTATTCTGTAGGGATAATGTGTAATTGAATAGTTTGAAACGAATTTGTTGCGCTTTTTTGAAAATAAATTGAACTGGTTATACCCTGAGATCGCATAATTGTCATATGAAATATAACTTCGGGTGCTTCAAATGTTTTTAGCGTGCTAAAATGATTCAATACACATATCAAGGCACATGTTGATACTCTTTTATATGCAATGGGACATTCCTAATTTTATTTCCGGTTCCAAAATGGCTGCGCCCACAGTGTGTGTTCCAGGCGAGTATTTCTTGTTTCTATTTGAACCATCAATGTGAATATTTGTCGGGAGACATTTATGTACATTGTTATAAATAAGGAATCATTATCCAACAATTTTATTGATGTGTCAACGTTTTGGATTAATTCGTGTTATCATGGTCATCTAGTTATAAGACAGAAAACAATGAAACATGCACAATTCACAATATTTTGACAACTCACGTGGACCATTTTGTCAGGTTTTAGTAAATGTTTATTACTAGTGCTGATTCGTCTTTTCTCTTCTGATGCATGGATATGGATTCTATATCGTGTCTTGACTGTCGGAACCCTTCATGACTCAGTTGCGAAAGTGTGTTGGAATTAACACGATCTATCAATGGGAGGAGAAGTTTATTTAGATCGTTTCTTATTGATGCAGGTCAGAGAATATTTCGGGAAGGTGCCAACTATGTTGCTGGTGAGGGCACTTATAAACGAAATGGCTTCATCTACTCCAGTCTGGCTGGTTTCCTTCATGCTGATGAAACTGAAGAAGGAAAGGTACAGTTTGTGTCTCTTCTTATCATTATCGCCGCAGGTTGCGGTCGGGTAGCCTAGTGGTTAAAGCGTTCGCTTATCATGCCAAAGTCTCAGGTTTGATTCCCGACATGGGTACAATGTGTGAAGCTCATTTCTGGTGTCCCACGCCGTGATATTGCTGGAATATTGCTAAAAGCGGCGTAAAACCATACTCACACACTCACTTATGGCCACACGGATTCCGGGTTAAAATAGGTCCCTCACAACCTATGCTGGTCGTAAGATCAAGGGGTCGGACTCAGTGACTTGGTTGATAGCATGTCTGATGACATGGATCATTGCACACAATATCGATCACTGGATTGTCTGGTCCACACTTGATTATGCACAGGCTCTGGTTGCTGGAATATTGCTCAGTGCTGAATTAAACAACAAACAAAGAAACAAAGTTGTCATCAGGATAAGCAACACAAGAAAATAAAGGACATCATACACCTGTCAGTTTCAGAACACGTTCTTTTTTTATTTTGCCTTTTGCATCCATTCAGATAGAGTCTACGGATTCCCCCCAAAATATGTTGTCAGCCTTTTATGCTTTTAATGTTTCAAAACAGCCACCATGCTTTTGAATCATGCTGAATTTATCGGTTCAAGCAATATTGCACCAGTCTATATCTGGAATACAGAGAACCGAAATACTCCCATCTGTTAACATATGTTGGATAATGCTGTTTATATTTACAGGTAATTATCAGGTTTCATATTTACTGGAACTTTAATGTTTGATGTTGTTTGACAGAAGCTGGTGGAAGTAAGGGCTGATGTGACCAAGAATGTAGTTCCTGCCGTTGAAGCTGTTGTCACTGCTCGGGTAGGTCGATAGGGAGAAATGCTTAATGCTTTATGGAAGACTGTGTTATGGGCTTCATCAGGGTGTCATGAAGCTGAGTTACAGATAAGCTGCGTATTTGCATAAAATACCCCCGAAAAACTATTAAAAAACCAATTACTTTCAATTAACTTGCGTGCAGAAACGCATGCATTAAATGGAAAACTTAATTTTTGAAAACAGCACACGTAAACACCCAATGAAGCTTTTTCAGCATGCGTACAACGGAGCTAATTTACTTTCCGAGTCAAGCCTATATTTAGCATGTTTAGAACCATTATATTACATCTAAAACACTATTTATTTATTTTTTAAATCTCAAAATGCTTACTCATTTCAGCATGTTTGGGAAAAACCCAACAGAGTGATGAATACATTAGTGAAAAAAATATTGGTTACCCAATGAAAAATAAAATAACCCAATTAAAATAGAAACCTTTGAGTAAAAACTAATTGCTCAAAAAGTTATCTGGAGCTCTGATGAAGGATTCAAGTATCACCATGATCACCTATCAAATCAGTTCATTTTCCAGGACATCAACTGATTGTTATCCAAAGTGTCCTAAAGATTCTTTTCCAAATTTGTTGTGCTAGTTTATACAGAATAATGTCCCATCAAGAAATGGCAAAATATCCTCATGCCAATTGTCTCGAACAAAATAACGTTAAGTTTTTATTGTGTTTACCATGGCCTTGTCTAGAGCTGTTTTATTCAGGTTTTGTTGTTTTAGCCTTGTCCAGGGCCCACTTGCACAAAGCGATCTTAGCGCTAAGACTATCGTAAACCTATGTTAAAGTATGGGAGTTACAATCATCTTAGCACTAAGATCGCTTTGTGCAAGTGGGCTCAGGATTATGTTAGGCCCTGTATTATTTGTTGGTTGGTTTACAAACATCTTTGCCTAAAATCAGCCTGCTAAAATTCAATGTAGGTGGTCAGAAAAAATAATTTTCATTTAACTTCCAGATTAGTACTACTACAAATGAAATAATAACAAACTTGTAGATCACACCAGCACGGATGAATGATACTAGAAGATAATTGATTGTTTTTTTGTTAGAATATAGATTAATATATGTATTTTTCATTGTTTCTTGTGAACAGTTGTCCTAAAATCTAATGGTTTTTTCTTTACACCGAACCTAGTCCGCCTAAATAATTGTTTCAAAAGTCATATTGTTTTTCTTTACATGCTAAATTCAGGTATATTGTATATTTTACCGACCAGTCTTAAAAAACAACTAAAAAAGGCCTTATTATGGTTTCATACCGATTACTTAATTAGGGATCTACTAAGGATTCTTAACTAAGTGCCCCTCGCAGGCAAAATGGGAAAAATAGTTATTTTGATCAAAATTGGGATTTTTGTATTCATTCATATTTTCGTAATTTCAGAGGTATTTTGGGATGGTATTTAATGTAATAATATAAAACGAATCATTAAAACCTTTTACCATTTTTTGGTCTTGTTATGAGTGAATACAGGTTACTTCTACAAAGCCATAAAATTAGTTATAAGTTATATATATTACTACATTGTAATTTGATTTGGGAAATGTTTGGTTCCAAACATATGCATTTGCCGCAGACTTGGGGCCAAATATCTGCTTCTCTGAGCAGGTCTAGATAAATTCCTGTTTATCATCAGGTCATAGAATGTTAGTATATATAATTTTTGTGTAACCATGGTAACTGTTCAACATTTCAGGTTACAAACGTCAATCCAAGGTTTTGTAAATGTGCCATCCTGAGCGTGGGAAAGACGCCTTTGAGAGAAACCTTCAGAGGAACTGTCAGGTACACTAGATGATGTTTCTCAAAAACTCTGTTTTCAATACTTATCATGAGACCTGTGGAGATCCGGGGTAGAATAGGTCTTCAGCAACCCATGCTTGCCGTAAAAGGCGACTATGCTTGTCGTAAAAGGCGACAAACGGGATTGGCCGGTAAGGCTCGCTGACTTGGTTGATGCATGTCATCGATCCCAATTGCGTGGATAGATGCTCATGATATTAATCACTGGATTGTCTGGTCCAGACTTGATTATTTACAGACCGCCGTCATATAGCTGGAATATTGCTGAGTGCGGCGTTAAACAACAAACAAACAAAACAAACAAAACAAAACTTAGCATGATGGTGGACTGAAGTGTGGATTGTTTGGCAAAGATGGCTGATTATTACAGACAGTAATGCTAACAGACTGGTGCAGTTGAATTCTGGAAAGATAGTCGTAAAAGGCGGCCTACAGGATCAGATGGTCAGGCTCGCTGACTTGGTTGATGCATGTCATCATATTCCGATTGTGTAGATTGATGCTCATGATGTCAATCACTGGATTGTCTGGTTTAGACTTGATTTTTACAGACTTCCATCATATAGCTGTTATATTGCTAAGTGTAGCACTAATCAACACAAACAAAACACTGGTATTTATCCTCGACATTGTAACTTAATGAAGCACACATAAAATATATGTACACTCAGACCATTATTCCACATTGTCAATATACAAAAATTATTCTGACTTCACAGACGAGATGATGTGAGATCTACGGAGAAGGACAAGGTATGTATTAAGTTCATACATGACTTGAATTAACATTTCTAAGAAAAGATTGAAGATTTAATTGTTAAATGTTTTCCTAGGAATTGAACTACATATTCAACCAGTGTCATAAACATGGAGGGAACGGGTGGCCCCGTAGTCTGAGGCGCTGCAATTCGCTGTGCAGAGTTGCGTCCCTTGGGTGCGCCAGAAACCTATGATTGTGGGTTTGAATCCCGGTTTGCCCCAATTATGTTAGTAGGTTTGTCAGCACCATACTCGTCAGCTCGTGGGTTTCACCGAAGTGGTAAACATCTGAGACCTGCATCACTTCGGGCTTTCCTCTCACATTAACCTGACACGCCATGATATAACTGGAATACTGTTAAAAGCGGCGTTAAACCCAACTCACTCGCTCACCCACTCATAAAGCATGGTTTATCAAATCTAAAATTGACAAATTCAAATTGAAGTTTTTTCATGGATTAGAGCTGTGTCCTTGTAGTTCCATGCACTTCATTCACAGGTGGAGATGTACAAGAGTTTCCGTCCTGGTGACATCATCGTTACCCGAGTTGTATCCTTACCAAATCTCAAAACAAGTTCAATACTGTTTTTTACACACTGGTACACATCCTTATGATTATAGGGGCGGTTGGGTAGCCTAGTGGTTAAAGCATTCTCTTGTCACGCCTCAGACCCGGGTTCGATTTCCGACATCGGTACAATGTGTGAAGCCTTTTCCTGGTGTCCCCTGCTGTGATATTGCTGGAATATTGCTAAAAGTGGCGTGAAACCATACTCACACCTTATGATTATATACTAGTTCAAAAAGTTGAGGATCGCAAATTCTTTTATTTTACTATTATGAAAGAATTGTGTGGTCCCTAACTTGTTTTGAATGGTATAGTACTTATAGAATAGCATTAGAATTAATGAGCATGCTTGATTAGTAGTTAAGTTTAAGTAAGCTTGTGTTGCTCACTATGTTTATATTTTACTTGGCCAGGGTGCGTTCCAGTTGACAAGAATGCACTGGTGCAGGTTAAAATCAGCTTGTGCATGTTGTGCAGACTCAGTTCACAAGCAGACTGCACTGAGTGCAGACTGTAAAATATTTGATCTCGTTAAAATCAGATCTTAGCTCTCGCTACCGCTAAACAAAGATCTGAGAACACCCCATTACAGGTCACGTCAGACCGACCTTGAGCGAACCTTGACCGAGCAATGGAATGACTGACAAGAAGTCGACAGTAGCCAATCAGAAGGCAGATTTCTCATGCTTTATGGCACTAATTTCAAATTGGGGACTTTGCTTCGAAAAATATTTTGACAAATTCTTTCTTAAAAATTTGAAACCTGAACAACAGAACATTCAAGAATGGCTAATAGATGGTCTAAATTGTATGGATTCAGTTGGTAAGTCTGTAACTATCATTCGGAATACCCCGTGTTAAAGTTTTCGAGGTTGCATGATTAGAAATCACATTCCGACTGTCACTTTCATGATCTGGTAAGCGACGCTCTGATTGGACAGATGAAAGGTCGTTCTCACGTGACCCCTAATGGGATGTCCTCAGATCTTTGATTAGCGGTAGCGAGAACTAAGATCTGATTTTAATGAATAAATATTCAACAGACAGGCAAATAAATATCACTTGCTTCAAGTTTATACCATGTAGAGATTGAAAAAGAATTACTTTCTTTTCGCACAATGCTCATATTTACTTCCTGTTTATGAATACTACAGATCGCCAATCTTTGTTGACATGGTTGAGGAGCGAAATGAGCCAACTTATAAACATGATAACGAAGAAAGTGTGTTGATGTACTGTACGTTATGCGAAGTTTACAGTTAGGTTGAAGTGTAAATGTACTCGTCGCAGGGACCCATGAAGATCCGGGCTAGCCATGCTTGCCATAAGAGGTGACTTTGCTTGTCGTAAGAGGTATCTACACAAATGTAATGATGTAACAGGGAGCAGTATTTACAGGAACCAGTTAGGCCTTTTGACCAGTTCCTTTCAAGTTCAGTTGAGACCCGTGAAGATAGAATAGGTCCTCATCAACCCATGCTTGCCGTACAAGGCGACTATCGGGATCGGGTGGTCAGGCTCGCTGACTTGGTTGATGCATGTCATGCATTGTCATCGTATCTCAATATCGTAGAAAGATGCTCATGATATCAATCACTGGATTATCCTGTCCAGACTCGATTATTTACAGACCGCTGCAGGGTTAGAAACTAACAGTTTTCGTCCACTAGTCCTAAAATGATAACATATAGCAAAACCCTTAAAATGGGCCAATTTCTTCTAGTCCTCATGATACCTTTACTATTGGGCAGTTTGGCAAGGACTATAGGACTAGTGCCAATTTCTTACGCTGCCGCTGTCATATAACTGGAATATTGCTAAATGCGGTGTTAAACAACACTCAAACAAACAAACAAACAAACAAACAAAAACTTGTCCCAGGACACATCACTTCTTAGTGTAATAGTAAAAAATATATATCTTTTTGTTTAAATTTTCCAGTCAGTTGTGTGGTGCAGTCAGTGCATCTGTTGTGCAGTCAGGTGTTAACTGCTGCTTGCACGAGGTGCTGTGGAGACACAAATAGGAAATTGCACTCGGTTTTGTGGGAAACAATTAAATGCTAATAAATATACCAGGGTGCTGTTTAAGGTGCAGGAAGTTTAGCATTTTTACTGTAGAACTCCTCAATGGAAACATGATTAACAGTCATGACCATTAAGGAAGAGAATTTATGGATGTCAACTTCTTTATTATGAGAAACACAATGTTTTGGAATATATGCTTACTCCTTCCATTGTTTCAAAATTATTAGTTATTTTAGTGATATATTTTTGTTGTTGATATCTTTGCACTTTTCCAATCCTCCAAAGATACAGTAGATGGACAAAAAGGAAAATTAATTTTTTTTTTTTTTTCTAATTGTTTTTTGCCTCGAGTCTCTCAGGTCCATAAAATAAATTGAAGAACTGTTTTCTGTTAAACAAATACATATGAATATGTAAACTTGATTATAGACTAACATCTAGTCTCTGAAATGAACATATCGTACATAAAAAAACAGTTGTTCAGTTATCTTAATAAAAATATAATAAAAAGGAGCCCAGTGACTCTCTTCATTTTCAGATACTGCAGTGATCTAGACTTGCCAAACATTATAGACTTGCATGGGCTGTGTTTGATATATATTTGATCAGGGTCTGTAAGACAGACTAACTAGATTAGTGAAACTGTCACATTGTTGTTCCTGACAAGAATAGTTATCACTGGGAGATGCACATTCCTATCTTCTGAGCACTGCAGAAAATGAGTTGGGAGTTGTCATGGCAACAAGTGAAGCAGGTGAGTTGATTTTATCATGGCTTGACATCACCATGATCACTTTGATCTTCTGTAAAAATGTTTCTGCAGTTGAGTTTAGTTGGAATGAATTGGCTATTTATGGAAAGTGGTCCAAGACATAGCATTTCACCGTGGAGTTGTTTCCCTTAGCGGTGCCAGGATCTACTGCCTATGTGTTTGAATGCTAGATTCACTCCTGTTGTGATCCTCAATCTGTCAGTACCAGAAAAACAACTTGACTTTAGCTTTCATCCCATCTTAGGCTGCAATGCTGAGATATGATACGGGAGAAGTTCAATAGTTTTGAGGTTTGTCTTGTCCAATCTGTATGGTCTAGTGGATAGAGCATCTGCTTGGAGAGTCGAGGGTGGGTGCTTTGATCCCTGGCGGAGCGGTCGGGTAGCCTAGTGGTTAAAGCGTTCGCTCGTCACGCCGAACACCCGGGTTCGATTCCTGACATGGGTACCATGTGTGAAGCCCATTTCTGGTGTCCCCCGCCGTGATATTGCTGGAATATTGCTAAAAGCGGCGTAAAACCATACACTCACCCACTCATGTGATCCCTGGTCATGTCATTCAATGGAGACCAGTGAAGAACCGCGTAGAGAGAATTCTTCAACCAATGCTTGCCATAAAAGGCGACAAACGGGATCAGATGGCCAGGCTTGCTGACTTGCTGACTTGCTTTATGCATGTTATTTTATCCCAATTGGGTGGATCGATGCTCATGATGTCAACACATGACTGTCTGGTCCAGGCTCGATTATTTACTGACCGCTGTCATATAGCTGGAATATTGCTGAGTGGGGCGTTAAACAACAAGCAAACAAACAACTAGGCTGGAATTCCTGGGCTCGATCGTAGTGCCACCAGTGGCTATTACAAGTTATGTCCATTATGCCTCTCCCATATGGACCAATCAGATTCCACCTCTCGTATCACATGCATTTGCTTCAAACAAAATGATGGCGCAAAGTCAAGACGATCTGATCTACATTCAAGATATATTTGGTGATAAAACGGTTCTTACTTCGCGAAGTGCATCAAATCACATGAGCACCTTCATTAAAAACATGAAAAGATTTGGAAAATATCTGTTGACAACGAGTTGGCGATGCACATGCTTTGCAAATCCTGCAATCGACCGAAATCTGCATGACAGTTTACGAACCGGATTTTGATTTCGGTGCGCGATTTTGATTGGACTATGCCTAGACTCGTTAGTCCAGCCAAATTCTAACTCCATAATCCCAGCCTAGTTCAACAAGGGTGGAAACTGGACTTTTATAGTCAGTTAACTCTCTGGCCTCGGGAAGATGCACACACACACGCAAACTGCAATAAGTTTGAATACTGTTAAACTCCATTTCACCTGCCCGCCCATACAAAAAGTACTGTTCACTGAATATGCTGGATGGGTTGTGAAAATAAAGTAATGAGCTCCTCCTGTCAGTGAAAAAAGACTGAATGTCTTGAAGCAGAGACTGAAAAAATATTGTCTCTCAGAACCATCCAGCCCCTCCCCCAGAAGCCAATGACTCCTGAATGATGTGTAATGTTGTTTCTGGCCACCAGGGGGCAGCATGGTGCCGGTCAGCTGGTGCAAGATGCAGTGTCCTCGCACTCTGGCTGAAGAGTTCCGTAAAGTTGCCAAGGTCCAGAAACAGTTCATCCAGGATGGCGGAACATAGCTGTTGTCTGTCGTCTCTGTACCATCATCTTGTAAATAAATCGTTTTGTATGTATCTGTATCAGTTGTCAGTTCCAGGTCATGTGACACCAGGGTACCGTTTCACAAAGCAGTCGTAAATTTACACGCTCGTAGATTTTACGCCATATTTGCGCAATGTTTACGCCATAGTCTAAGACTGTTTCACAAAGCTACACTAAAACTGGCGTAACCTCGGCCAAATTACCCGCACGTAAAAAATACGATTGGAGCTCTTTTCCTTTGTGAGGTAGGAAAATCCTCTCGATGATGTCATAATCCACCAAATCATCGAGGGGGTTCGACCTTTTCGCGGAAAACACGTTCTCGCTTACATACTTTTTTGGCAATCTCGTCCGTGTTTAGATTGATCGCTTGCGTAAATATGTACACCACCCCAAGACTACACATAGAGTTTGCGCCAATTTTATACGGACGTAAAATTACACTAGCTTTGTGAAACGCCCCTAGTTCAGTATTTCCGGGTTACGCCAGTTTTACACCCTCGTAAGACTTACGACTGCTTTGTGAAACGGTACCCTGGTGTCACGTGATCATGGCTATTGTTGCATGATGTCTGGGATTCTGTTTTAGAGTCGGGTCGCTGGTAACCTAGTCAGGCTTGGTGACTTGGTTGATTGTGTGTCATTGTACCCAAATAGTGGGGGCCATTGCTCGTATCAACCTCACTCCTTCACTTACTGGTGCATCAAGCCATCACAACACCTTCATCATGTTCACCAGACTGACCTAAAAGAAACACACTTGTGAATGTCCAGGTTAGAATAGGTCGTCAGACTATGCTTGTCATAAGAGGTGACTAACGGGATCGGGTGATCAGGGTTCGATTCCCGACATGGGTACAATGCCATTTCTGGTGTCCCACGCCATGATATTGCCAGGATATTGCTAAAAGTGGCGTAATACCATACTCACTCACTCATGTGATCCCTGGTCATGTCATTCAATGGAGCCCCGTGAAGATCCCAGAAGAGAATAGGTCTTCAGCAACCAATGCTTGCCATAAAAGGCGACTAACAGGATCAGGTGGTCAGACTCGCTGACTTGGTTGATGCATGTCATCGATCCCAATTGCGTGGATCGATGCTCATGATATCAATCACTGGATTGTCAGGTCCAGACTTGATTATTTACAGGCCCCCGTCATATAGGTGGAATAGTGCTGAGTGTGGCATCAAACAACAAACAAACAAACAAATTAAACAAACACATGCGTTAGAAAACAGTACACCTTTATCTTAAAGCTGAGACTTTCAACTCTGGATACATCCATATAAAAACGCAGACTGAACACGGGTTAGAAGACACATCAACACTGTCTATATGGAAGTACAAGTATCAATGGGAAGAAACACTTCACATAATCGGAATATGACATGGAAAGCTAGACCGTCAATACTTCACAGGTATGTATGTACTCAGTGATCAAAATAAGCGCCTGCCTGTAGGCCCGTGGCAGGTAGTTCTTCTGTCAGGCCGGTACATGTAGTTACAAATTTGTACGGGTCCTTATGGCCAGCAGTATATGTACATGTCTATTTATGTGTCACAATGAGCAGCAGTTTTTTAAATGAGGGCCTGAGAGTATCGTCATGGCCTGGAGCTTCTAAAGCCTGTGGGTCCTGATGGCAGTCTAGCAATTTGTTTTATTTCCAACAGTGTACTGACAACTCCTCAATCACCAAGACTTGCTGACTTGGTTGATGCATGCCATCAATCCCAATTGCGTGGATTGATGCTCATGATGTCAATCACTGGATTGTCTGGTCCAGACTCGATTATTCACAGACCGCCGTCATATAGCTGGAATATTGCTGAGTGCGGCGTTTAACAACAAACAAACAAACAAATCAATCACCAAGAGTACATATGGCCATGACTGTAAATGTCTAAACTGACTGTAAACTGTCACTTCTAAACCAACGAATGAAGCCATGGCCTGGTTCCAAAGAGGGACACCGCCAATTGATCTGACCAATGAGCGCTCAGGAAGACAAGATTTGTCCTCCCCGACAGGCCTCAGCTGTTCACCATAGGGAGTAACATAGTATTTACATGCTGTGAAGTAGTGACAAAGGGAAGGCCATCCACAGATGGATGAATAACACTGATTTTTGGTACAGCAATGATTTTAAAGACAGGCACTTAGCACTTGAGAACATTCAACATCAGAAACATGAAATGTGCTCTCTACTTGGTTACCACAGTGATTGATTACGAATATCGCTATCTCTATCTATATTGCTGAGACTTATGTATTGCACAGACAGAGGATATTACAATGCCGGGACAGGTAAAATAGCTCAAGCTTTGCTTTAATCGTGGGTTAATATGTCAAAATGCTTATGTAAAGATAACTAAATCAGTGTCAAAACTAGCTAACACAGGGCCAGTAGAATGACCAAACATTTCAAAATTTCATCTTAATTATTTGCTACCATTGCTGGATAACCTTTCAATAATGCTGGATAACCTTTCAATAATGCCGTATTTATTTTTCTGAGAAAAACATAGGACTGACGGACGGTTTAATGTTTTTAAAAAATGACTTGTTATAAATATTGGTGAAAAAAAGAAATGGCAGATCATGTTAAAGAAAATATATAGAATTATAAAATAATGCCTAAGTAATAAAAAAAATCAACAAAATCATGTTTTTGATTTGTCTGTGAAATGCTACACTCAGCCATGGTAGGGCCTCAATCCCATCCTAAGACAAGGCCTTCCTGGCAGTGTAGTGTAGATGGATCCGACTATTGTGACATTATCAACACAAATATACCTTCAGGAACAACGAGCATCATTCATATCACAGGGTGTGTCCAATATGGATCAGTGAAAATATTAAACCAAGGTATTAGCCATCCTCAATTTTATGTCCATTCTTTTTTCTAATTCGGTGTAAAGTTCGTGATAAGAGAAATGAACATGGTGACATCACTTCAGAAACGAGGAGCGGTGGGGTAGCTTCGTGGTTAAAGAGTTCGGTCCTCACCTGGAAGGCCCCGGTTTGATTCCCACATTGGTCCATCATGTGAAGCCCATTTCTGGTGTCCCCCACTATGATATTGCTGGAATATTGCTAAAAGTGGCATAAAACCATACTCACTTCTGAAATGAAGCTAATATGACAAACGTGTCAAGGGTGTATATGTATAGGTTAAAACACGTCCGAGGGTTGTTATGATATTTAAAACCCGCATCCCGAGGGATTTTCCGAGGGATTTTCCGAGGGAAAGGGTATTAAATATCATAACAACCCGAGGGGAAGTGTTTTATCTTACTTATAAACCGAAAAGAAAATTTAAACAACATTTATCAACATTTTTATGTTTCGAACATACTTTCCATGAACATTAGGAAACGGGCGTAAAATATCTGTTGCTGGCATACGGATCTTGAAAAGGACATTCTAAAAAGCAGTGCGACTTATAAACGCGTCTCTAACCTAGTGGTACACTCACTTGGCTACAGATACCAAGGTTGCGTGTTCTATCCACGGGAAAAGAAAGAAAATATTTGTTATTTGAATTTACATTTCATTACATTTTACAATCTGAACGGAAGTTATATTAATAAAATACCCAGGACATTATATAAAATCCCTGGAATATTGTAACACATTATATAGCAAAGATGACTTGAATATCCTATAAAATCCCGGGGATATTATATAAAATATATAAAGTTTATAAGATTTAACCCGACTGGAGAACAATAGGATGACGTCACCGGAGGTTTATAACGGTGGTAATAAAATGAACGAGGATACAAAACACTGAATAACTGAGGAGGGTGCTACTGGACCAGCTACTGAGTGATATTTTTGGCAAATGCAGATTCTACTGGCTCTACTGACAAAGGGGAGAAAGTCAATTGAACAATACCTTTGGGGGGGGCACGGGTGGCCCAGTCGTCTTAGGCGCCGCGATTCGCTGTGCGTCCCTTGGCCACGCCAGAAACCTATGACTGTTGGTTCGCCCCGATTATGTTTCTAGGTTTGTCACCGAAGTGATAAACATCTGAGACCTGCATCACTTCGGGCTTTCCTCCCACATTAAGCTGACACGCCGCGATATCAGTGGAATACTGTTAACAGCGGCGTTAAACCCAATTCACTCACTGTGATACATTTGATATTTCCCAAATTAAGGGAAGGTTCATCCTTAAACCAAGGAACTAAACTGGTCTAACCAAATGAAAGAATAAACATGGCTTTTGTTGTCACAGCTAGGTGGCGTGTACCTTAATTACATATATATCACTATCTACGTATTAATCATGCTCAATTTACTATATTTTATAGTTACATATCTGACTTCATTGGCAGTGCAATAAACATGTGGCCTGAAGTCAATATGTTTTACCACCTAATTTATTTTGCACGGAAACATCCCCATTAAAAATCAAACAAATGTAAACAATAGAATTCATGACAATAACATGCCATGTCTTCGAACCTTGTTGGAATCAGGAACTTTAATATTTTAGTGCTATTTAACAGTAGCCCAATACAAGTCATTCTGTCTGTCTGTCGACATAATGTCAAATGAATTCATATATTTTCCCATCCTACATGCAAGCTGTCCATGGGTGCAACATCAATATGCAAATTAATAATTATTTTTAGAAATTGATATACACCTATTTCAACAACAGCTGTCTCCTTGAAATGAAACCTGTCACTCCATTACGCTAATCTGTCTGATGTATGGTGAAAAATATAGTAAGAGCATATTCGTATTCCGAGGAAAGTGAGTGAGATGGGTTTAACATCGCTTTAAACAGTATTACGGTTATATCGTGACGTGTCAGCTTAGTTTGGGAGGCAGTAAACAGTAAACAAGGCGTGGTTGACTCAGAGTCAGAAAACTGTCTGGGTATCCATGTAAAACTGCAGCATGGTATCTCAGTGGGCTAGCACTATAAAACCGGACTAGTTCAAGCAGACAGACAGACACACACACACACACGCATGCATGTCGCTATATAAGTGCAATAATCTTGAATGCGACATTAAACCTATTTTCGCCTCATCTCCATATATTATCTGCAAATTAAAACATAACATTACCACATTTACATCTAAACTCAAGTCCACGCAGGACTCCAATCCATGGTGTATTTTTAACTGTGGCATATTCCCTACTTATGGTGAGGTGAGGTGAAATGGAGTTTAACGTCGAGTCCAAGATTATTGCACTTATATAGCGACCTGCATGCACGTGTGTGTGTGTGTGGCTGCTTGTACTAGTCTGGACCAATGACGATTAAAAGTGCTAGCTCACTGAGATACCATGCCACAGTTTAACATAAATACCCTAGTCAGACACAGTATACTGACCCCGAGCTGACCAGTCCTTTTTTAGCCCCTTAATGCCGAGTGCCAAATAGGGTAACAACAAATACCATCATTTAACGTCTCTTGGTATGACGCAGCCGGGATCGAACCCTGTACCTTCACCCCCGGGCGAGCGCCCTACCACTAGACCACAGTGGTCCCTACTGATGGTAGATCATTGATAAGTGAGTGAGTGAGTGAGTATGGTTTTACGCCGCTTTTAGCAATATTCCAGCAATATCACGACGAGGGACACCACAAATGGGCTTCACACATTGTACCCATGTCGGGAATCAAACCCGGGTCTTCGGTGTGACGAGCGAACGCTTTAACCACTAGGCTACCCGACCGTCCCAGATCATTGATAAAAAAAAACACTGTATAAATATCACCATCGAACATAAAACAATAACAGACGAAATAACATGACAGGTGGCCATGGAATAACACCATGAAGATGGCAACAGGGAAACCAGAACGAACCATTAAAATTAAAATATAGCACCCTACATGATCCCAGCTTGAGTGATGCCATGTATTACGTCATCTCCACAGAAGTTGTATGACCGTGGGAACGTACACTCCGCAATGAAGAAGACTGCCACAGGTTTGTGACCAAACATATCAGCTGTATATAAACTAATCAACCTTTGATAGGGTTATTCTTAAAGTGCAGGTGGCGGATAAATTTGATTGGTTGTTCGGTGATGTACGAATCGGATGCGATGTGGGCTGGACCTGGCACAAGGAAAACTTCATTTCAAGTATAAATAAACAAGTAAACTCCTAAATACATTGCTGCCCGACTTTGTAAGTGTGTGAGCTAGCACAGTATCCTTGTCAGAAATTGAGTTGTACATAATGAAGTTAATCCATTGATTAACTGCAACTTTTGAAACAAAACATCTTGACTTAACACAAGCATACCAAAAATGTCATGTAACCAATACTCTTGCAACACTTCTCTTCCAGTAACCATGGAAACAAAATGTTGACGAACATGCGAACGGTAACAATAATACTGAACAACATCCTCGCTAATTGCTGCTTGATGATAGAATGTAATGTCGTGGGGAATAACACACAGTACTGTGTGATACAGAGCAGAGTGGGAGGGGAGTTGACAAAGTTTAACATATAAAATCCTGTATAAAATCCCTGTTTAAAAACATAACAATCCATTACATTTGATACTCAAGGGAAAACATTCACAGCATGACCCTGCTTAAAAACAAGAAACCATTTTTCAGATAATTCTTTGGGTAATATCTCCAAAACCGGAGCTTCATGTCCACAGACAATGGACAATGATGATGTCCTTGGCATATCGGTAGATGTCCATTCCAAGTACAATGGCTACAAATATTCCTACACCTTCTTGAATTCATCCAGATACAGCGATGGCATCAGAAAACTGGCTTGATCGTCACTGAATCCACCCACATGCTGGACAAGGCTCTGAAGCTCTTGCCGAGTCTCTATCAAACAATCTTCTATCTTCTGCTTCATCTTCTCGATGTCCTGGATCTGCTGCTTCAGGTCGGCAATCTCAGACTCCTTGCTATCAATTCTTGATTCCAGGAGTTTAATCTTGGAGTCATAGTCCTCCCTGATGCGTCGGAGTTGGTCCGCTGCTATCTGCTGTTCCTGCTTGTGAGCTTGTCGGACTGCTGCGTCTTTCTCCGCGTTCTTCTGTTCCACGAGGGCCTCTGTGGCATGTTGGTGCTTGTTTTCAGCCATGGCCAACACTCGAGCTACTTCTTCCTCCTGTTTCCTGCAGAAGAGAGAATATATTCTCAGAAACTATTACGCAGGTAAGGCTTGTAGAAGGGGGATCGAACACCAACAACTAAGGCAGATGACATTTCAGAGCTTTTTTTAGGTTCAGTGTATGTGTGACATCATAGTTGTCAGTTCATACTAAAAGTTAGAATGGGAATTAATCTGAATAAGGACAATAATGATAATAACAAATAATAATAACAAATAATAATAATAACAACAAATAATAATGATAATAATGATGAGCAAGTGAGTATGGTTTTACGCTGCTTTTAGCAATATTCCAGCAATATCACGGCGGGGACACCAGAAATGGGCTTCACACATTGTACTCATGTCGGGAATCGAACCCGGGTCTTCGGCGTGACGAGCGAACGCTTTAACCCCTTGGCTACCCGACCGCCCAATAATGATGATATGATGATGATGATGATGATAATACTACTACTACTAATAATAATAATCATCATCATCTTCTATATAGCCCTATGTTCCACATCACAGAGGATGTGCACTAAGCTCATACATAAAGAGTCAGAAAGTTTGTAGCGTTGAAAGAATTAAGCTTTCAATGCAGATTATTAAGCAGAAAGAGAGGGAGCACTTCTCAGGGTCTGCAGGGAGAATTCCGTAGCTGATGAACTGAACATATTTTGAAATCTAACCGTTCACGCATGTGCAGCCAGTGCAATGGTTTCAGAACAAGTTTCATAAGCAACTGTTTTTTCAGTCTTTGAAACAATGTCTACAGGACTAAAGTAACATATATATATTGTGGCTTAATTTAATTGAAACAAAATATGTTACAAGGGTCATTAATTGCGGGAAGAGTTAGGTCATTGGAAATATGGGGAGGGTCATTCAAAAACATGAATTCACCAATTTGTTTAATCAGACAAATTTTCTAAATATTAATTCACTTTCAGATATTGTTGGATTCACTAAATTATCCAATGGAACTGGTCAAAACTAAAACCTCTAACATTTGAACACAAGTTTACCACTTTTATCTCCCCTTCACCAGTTGAGCTAATACTCACAAAGGTGAATCCTGAGAGAATTCAGGATAGATATCTCTCTTGTTTAGTGTTGGCAGAGAGATTTACGAGCCAATTAAGCCAGAAAGCCATGTGCTGTTACCGCAACTCACTCAAAGCTCTTGTCTTGAAGTGCACAGATAATAAATCAGACACCACTTGTGTCTGCATTGACTGAATGAGGTGAATTGGGTTTAACGTCGCGTCCAAGATTATTGCACTTATATAGCGACGTGCATGCGTGTGTGTGGCTTCTTGTACTAGTCCGGACTGATGCCGATTTATAGTGCTAGCTCACTGAGATACCATGCCGCAGTTTAACATGAATGCCCCACTCAGACACAGTATACTGACTCCGAGCCGACCAGTCCTTGTTTTAGCCCCTTAATGCCCAGCGCCAGACAGGGTAACAACAAGTACCATCTTTTAACGTCTTTTTGTGTGACGCGGCCGGGGATCGAACCCCGACCTTCCGCTCTCTGGGTGGACGCTCTACCACTAGACCACGGAGGCGGTCTATTTACCGAATGAACACACTGTATACCACTCAAAAGAAGTTAAAGAACACGCTCTTCTTTCATGGGACCTAACTGTCCTACTATATTCCGAAGCCCGAGTCAAGAAACATTGTGTTTGGTCTTGTACACTCAGATAAGACCTGTAACACAATCTACTGGCATCTTCACAAGGCAAGTGATTTAACTGAACATAAAATTCCTGTTTCCAACATTGCTGAACTAGGCTGGAATTTCGTGGTTTGATTACAAATTATGTCCCTTCTATGTCCCTCCTATTGACCAATCAGATTTCACCTCTCATATCACTTGCATTTGCTTCAAACAAAATGGTGGTGCCCAGTCAAGATGAAAATCAGATCGATAATCAAGATCTTCATTGTGGTAAAATGGGTCTTATCTTGAGAATAGGGCTGGGATGAGTTAAAATTTACTACCCAGGTACCCACCCCACTATTGCCCGACCCTACCTGGGTACCTGCTGTAGGTCTCAAGAGATAGGTACAAAGTGTCCGATTGGGAAACATTTGACCGTACTGCTGTCAAAATAAATTTAGATACACGTATATACCGATCTGGTCATGCATACACTGAAGTTGACTGAAGTTTTATCTTTATGCAAACATATAAAGTCAAAAGGAATGTGTGCATAGTCAGAAAGAAATGTGAACATTTGTCACTGATAGTGAAACCATAGAGTTCTAGATAAGTTTTGCCATAAAACAATATATCACCTGACTAACCATGGGTCTGGGTAGCCCTGTGGGTACCCAGGTCCTACTCAGTACCCACCCGACCTGAGTACCCGAATTACCCGTCCCAGCCCTAATTAAATCACTTGAGCACCTTGATTAATAGAATAAAAAGATTTGGAAGATATCTGTCTACGCCAAGTTGACAGCACACTTGAAAAAACAATGCAAATCCTGCAACGACGGAAAACTGCATGGCAGACGCCATGTTGTTTACGAGTCGAATGCCAAATTCATTATGCAATTATGATTGGACTATGCACAGACTCGTTAGTCCAGCCAAAATATAACTTCATAATTCCAACCTAGTCCGGCAAGGGTGGAAACTGGACTTTTATAGTCAGTTAACTCCCTCGCCTCAGTAAGATGTGTGTGTCGACTGGAAATGACAAGGTTTTAGAACAGACTGTGTGTGCATGTTACCAAAGTAGCATAAACAGCAAGGGTATCATTCATACAGTCCTTGGGGTCGTGGTACGCCCAGTGGTAAATGGAGCTGAATGTTTCAGTGTAAAGTTGTGTCCCTTAGTCAAGACAGGATCTACTAATCCCAGATAACCTGATCATGACCCTTGGTGTGACAGCATCATACCTTGTGGGTTCCACAAAGTGGAATTACGGGTTTCGCACATTTGGGGTTTCTCTCACATCTGGGGTTTCTTCCACATTTGGTGTTTTCCACATGTGAGGTTTTCCACATTTGGGTTTTTTCCCACATTTGGGTTTTCCCACATTTGAAGTTTACAACATTTGGGGGTTTTCACATGTGGGGTTTACCACATTTGGGGTTTTGCACATTTAGAGTTTACCACATTTGTGGTTTCTTCCACATTTAGGGTTTTTCACATTTAGGGTTTCTCACATTTGGAGTTTTTCACATTTGAGGTTTCTCCGACATTTGGGGTTTCTCCGACATTTTGGGTTTCACACATTTGGGGTTTCTCCGACATTTGGGGTTTACCACAATTAGGGTTTCTCACATGTGGGGTTCACCACATTTGGGGTTTCTCCCACATTCGGGGTTTCTCCCACATTCGGGGTTTCGCACATTTGGGTGTTTCCTACAATTGGGGTTTCCATCATTAGGGGTTTCTCCCACATTTGGGGTTTTCCACATTTGGGGTTTCTCCCACATTTGGGTTTTCCTACATTTGGAATTTACCACATTTGGGGGTTTTCACATGTGGGGTTTACCACATTTGGGGTTTTGCACATGTGTGGTTTCTCCGACATTTGGGGTTTCTCCCACAATTGTGGTTTCTCACATTTGGGGTTTACCACATTTGGTGTTTACCACATTTGGGGTTTCACCCACATTTGGGGTTCACCCACATTTGGGGTTTCTCACATTTTGGAGTTTACCACATTTGGAGTTAACCAAAATTTGGCATTTCTCACATTTGGGGTTTCTCGAATTTTGGAGTTTACCACATTTTGGGTTCATCATTTATTGAGTTTACCACATTTGGGGTTTCTCCCACATTTGGGGTTTCTCACGTTTGGGGTTTCTCACATTTGGGGTTTACAACATTTGGGGTTTCTAACATTTGGGGTTTACCACATTTGGGGTTTACAACATTTGGGGTTTCCAACATTTAGGGTTTTCCAACATGTGGGGTTTACAACATTTGGGTTTTACCTCATTTGGAGTTTCTAACATTTGGGGTTTATCATATTTGGAGTTAACCACATTTGGGGTTTCTCACATTTGGGTTTTACCACACTTGGGGTTTCTCCCATATTTGGGGTTTCTAACATTTGGGGTTTCTCACATTTGGGCTTTACAACATTTTGGCTTTACAACATTTGGGCTTTACCACATTTAGGGTTTCTCACATTTTGGAGTTTACCACATTTGGGGTTTCTCCCACATTTGGGGTTTCTCCCATTTGGGTTTTACCACATTTGGGGTTTCTCCCACATTTGGGGTTTTTCCCATTTGGGGTTTTCTAACATTTGGGGTTTACAACATTTGGGGTTTACCACATTTAGGGTTTACCACATTTAGGGTTTACCACATTTGGGGTTTACAACATTTGGGGTTTACCATATTTGTGGTTTCTCACATTTGAGTTTTCTCCCCCAAACAGCTGACACAGTGATATATATCACTGAAATACCATTCTAAACAGTCTGAGAGCGCTAAAGCAGCATGAATTCCCCATGACTACAGCACTGTAAACACAGATACAAACACATTCACTAGATTAATAGGATGCATGCCTAAAATTCAATATCAGTGCCTTACAGTTTCTGCCTGGAGAGCAGAGGGTTGAAGGTTTGATCCCCTGGCCACGTCATACTTAAAGATATTTAAAGGTGGTACGTGTTGTTCCACTGCTTGGCGCTTTGCATTAAGGGGAAAAAACATCTTGGTGTGCACAAGAAAACTGGGATGAATAAGTCTGGACTAGTACAAGCATGTGTGTGTATGTGAAAATGTGTGTGTGAGTATGTGTGTGTGAGTATGTGTGTGTGTATGTGTGTGAATGTGTGTGTATATGTGTGTGTGAGTGTATGTGTGTGTGCGAGTATGTGTATGTGTGTGTGTGTATGTGTGTGTGAGTGTATGTGTGTGCGAGTATGTGTATGTGAAAATGTGTGTGGGTGAAAATGTGTGTATGTGAGTGTATGTGTGTGTGCGAGTATGTGTATGTGAAAATGTGCGTGTGTATGTGTGCAAGTGAGTATGTGTATGAGAATGTGTGCGTATGTGTGTGTGTGTGTGAAAATGTGTGTGTATATGTGAGTGTATGTGTGTGTGCAAGTATGTGTATGTGAAAATGTGTATGTGTGTGAGTGTGTATGTGTGTGTGTGTGAGTGTATATGTGTGTGTGAAAGTATGTGTATGTGTGTGTGAGTGTATGTGTGCGTGCGAGTATGAGTATGTGAAAATGTGTATGAGAATGTGTGCGTATGTGTGTGTGTGTGAGTGTATGTGTATGTGAGTATGTGTGTGTGAAAATGTGTATGTGTGTGTGAGTATGTGTGTGAATGTGTGTGTATATGTGTGCGAGTATGTGTATGTGAAAATGTGTATGTGTGTGAGTGTGTATGTGTGTGTGCGAGTTTGAGTATGTGAAAATGTGTATATGTGTTAGTGTGTGTGTGTGTGAGTGTATGTGTGTGCCAGGATGTGTATGTGCAAATGTGTGTGTGTATGTGTGTGTGTGAGTGTATGTGTGTGCAAGTATGTGTGTGTATGTGTGTGTGTGAGTGTATGTGTGTGCAAGTATGTGTGTGTGAAAATGTGTGTATGTGAGTGTATGTGTGTGTGCGAGAATGTGTATGTGAAAATGTGTGTTTGTATGTGTGCAAGTGAGTATGTGTATGAGAATGTGTGCGTATGTGTGTGTGTGTGAAAATGCGTGTGAGTAAAATGTGTGTGTGTATGTGTGTACGTGAAAATGTGTATGTGTGAAAATGTGTGTATGTGAGTGTATGTGTGTGTGCGAGTATATGTATGTGAAAATGTGTGTGAGTATGTGTGCAAGTGAGTATGTGTATGAGAATGTGTGCGTATGTGTGTGTGTGTGAGTGTATGTGTATGTGCATATGTGTGTGTGAAAATGTGTGAATGTGTGTGTGTGTGCGAGTGAGTATGTATATGTAAATGTGCATCTGTATGTGTGTGTGTGAGTGTATGTGTGTGTGTGAGTGTATGTGTGTGTGTGAGTGTATGTGAGTGTATATGTGTGAGTGTGTGTGTGAGTGTATGTGTGTGTGTGAGTGCATGTGTGTGTGTGTGAGAGTGAGTGAGTGAGTGAGTGAGTGAGTGAGTGAGTGAGTGTGTGTGTGTGTGTGTGTGTGTGTGTGTGAGTACATGTGTGTGTATGAGTGTATGAGTGTGCGAGTGCTGATTGGCAGATTAGAAAGGTCACCTGATGTGACCGCCTATGGCAGTGTCATCAGACCTTCATGAATAGAGGGATGGATAAATCTGGACTAGTACAAGCAGCCTTCCACATAAATCTATTATCTGGTAACATGTGTTCGTGGGCGTAAAGATGTAATACATAATAATACATAATTAGGATAGCAAATCATTTCAGAGAAATATATCCTACTTTTTCTGTGTGTGTGTGTGTGCATGCGAGTGAGCATGAGTGTGTATGTGTGCGTGTATGTGTGTGCGATTGAGTATGTGTATGTGAGTATGTATATGTGAATGTGCGTCTGTATGTGTGTGCAAGTATGTGCATGTGAAAATGTGTGTGTATGTGTGTGCGAGTTTGTGAAAATGTGTGTGAGTATGTGTGTGTGTGAAAATGTGTGTGTATGTGTGTGTGTGTGTGTGAGTGTATGTGTGTGTGCGAGTATGTGTATGTGAAAATGTGTATGTGTGTGTGTGAAAATGTGTGTGTGAGTGTATGTGTGTGTGCGAGTATGTGTATGTGAAAATGTGTGTGTGTATGTGTGTGTGTGAAAATGTGTGTGTGTGAGTGTATGTGTGTGTGCGAGTATGTGTATGTGAAAATGTGTGTGTGTATGTGTGCAAGTGAGTATGTGTATGAGAATGTGTGCGTATGTGTGTGTGAGTGTATGTGTATGTGAGTATGTGTGTGTGTGCGAGTGAGTATGTATATGTGAATGTGCATCTGTATGTGTGTGTGTGAGTGTGAGTGTGTGTGAGTGAGTGTATGTGTGTGTGAGAGTGAGTGTATGTGTGTGTGAGTGTGTGTGTGCATGTGCGTGTGTGTTTGTGTCTGTGTGTGTGAGTGTATGAGTGTATGTGTGTGCGAGTGCTGATTGGCAGATTAGAAAGGTCACCTGATGTGACCGCCTATGGCAGTGTCATCAGACCTTCATTAATAGAGGTTTGATTTTAACTAAATTAACATCTGATTTTATCAAGATTAAATTCAACAACATTAATATGTACACAATACTCATTTCTGGATAGTTGTTTTGATAATCAAGACATTTCTCTTCTTTTTCATTTCTGGTAAAATTCCACTTATTTTCTTTCCTAACATGACCTGACAACAAACAGCTGTATAGAGAGTGGTGACATGTAGGGCACTACCATGCCATGCAGTACTCTGGTGTGTCTGAGTACAGCTTTATCTTATCACACACAAACACGAGGCCTGACCCAGATAGTAGAGGGTAAACAACCAACAAACAACCCACTGGCTTGTAAGTATGGTTCATTTAACCTCACAAACTCAACATTTCTTGTCAACTGATGATACTTTTCAACAGGAGTGAAACAAGCCCAACCATTTGGTCACATAAAATTAATTATGTATGTTTTCAGGAAGTACTTTATTTTTCCTTATTTTATTTAAACAAACTGTTCAAGGCATCAATGGACATTAACTGTTGGTGGAGTGAGTGAGTTTGGTTTTATGCTGCTTTTAGCAATATTCCAGCAATATCAAGGCGGGGGACACCAGAAATGATCTTCACACATTGTACCCATGTCGGGAATCGAACCCGGGTCTTCGGCGTGACGAGCGAACGCTTTAACCACTAGGCTATCCGACCGCCCTAACTGTTGCTGGAAGTAATTTAACAAATTAATTTAATTGTTAGATTTGCATTAACACCCATCTCACTACCAAACACCCTACTTGAAATTTTATTAAACTCAACTGTGAAGATCCAGAGTAGAATAGGTCTTCAGCAACCCATGCTTGTTGTAAGAGGCGACTAACAGGACCGGGTGGTCAGGCTCGCTGACTAGGTTGATGCATGTCATCGATCCCAATTGCGTGGATTGATGCTCGTGATGTCAATCACTGGATTGTATGGTCCAGACTCGATTATTTACAGACCGCCGTCATATAGCTGGGATATTGCTGAGTGCGGCGTTCAACAACAAACAAACAAACAAAACAAATATAATCTGGGAGGTGAAAACCAGACCTTACTGACATGACACTGAGAAGATTAAATATCAACCAAGACATTTTAATTCAGATAGATTGAAAAACAAATGTTGACGTAAGCATGCCAGGAGCCAGTTGATAATTGTGTCAGTGTGTCAATCAAGCATCAGCACTGCTCCAAGCCCAAACTTGGGGACTGGCCAGTGCTTACCACAATTCTATCCCACTGTGCCTACATCCCACTTCCCAATTTCATCCCTACTTATGAAAATGGACAGAGCAACTATTGTATGATTTATTTTGCTGAGAGATAAGCCTCGGGATAAAAGATTCAAATTAGTTTGTCAATATCTGTTGCCCAATTAAGTCAGGCTTGTTAGAAAATGACAGAGTAGAGGAATTAGATACTTATTACTGTATAAACAACAACAACAACAACAACAACAAAATAATATAGAACCAATCCACAACTATTTTCATGATCAATGCAATTTACGTTTTAATCATTGTTGTTCAAACAAGCCAGATCTTAAGTAGAGCATGGACAAGTTTATCTACTATCACTGGTGAAACAGGTAACAGTCATCATGTTCAGTCATGCATCACTTTCTGAGCATGAGACCGTGTCATTTCATGATTTTACTGTAGGCACAATGGGACTGTAGGCACAATGGGACTGTAGGCACAATGGGGAGACACCCATACCACTTGGCTTCGTCCTAGTATTGCTAGATACAAACAAAACAGTCAATCAAGCATTTCATAATAAACAACAACTCAGATTTAATCCAGAAACTAACTTCAGCCTCAGGAACCTAAACTGGATGATGCTATCTATACACTTCAATAACAACAATCTTTGTATAAACCTTTCTATCATGTGATTCTGAATCTCCTTTGAAAACAGTCGAAAAACTCATTGCAATTCTTTTGTGTTCATATCTATAAGATCCAGGTGCACTGGGTGGCAAGGTTTTCACCTGGCATACATATACCTAGCATAACATTTTCTTGTAGTTGTAGATAATACAATCTGGACAGGTACCTTCAGGTAAGCAACTATACAAAGTTTCCTCTGCACCAGAGGACTCGATGCCTGAATACCCAGCCAACAAAAGAGCACAGTGCAAGCAGTCATTCGGAAACTCAGGCAAATTTTATAGCAATGAAATCAGTGTTGACAATCAAAAGGTTTACTTCCCCCTCTGCTTGCTCTATTGCTATATGGCTTAAATAATGTCGGTGTGACATTAAATTATAACTCACTCCTGCACTTACTCTTATGTATTATACTAATATATTTAATAAGATTCAGAAGCTGTTACCATATTCAACGTAATAAGTGCCAAGGTCGCTCTCAAAATTAGAAATAGGGGCCTCTTATTAGAATAAAATATTGGTGAAAAAAAAACAGAGTTGAAAGATTGTAAATTTTGTGGTTTATGCTGACAGCCTGAAATGATACAAAAGAAAAGTCTGTACGTATTATACACGACAGATATAATTTTCCAGAATTTAATTGCCCATAATTAAGGGTGCATATAACACATGACTGTGTATTATACACGGATAAATAAGTCTTGTGCACATTGATCAATCAGAAGGGGTGCTAATTGGGTTTGTTTACTAGCCAATATATAAGCAAATATCGTTGTGAGTGCTTATGAGAGCGGGGCGCTTATTACGTCGAATACGGTATAACAATTAAGACACAGTTGACTACAGATTTCAGGTTCTTGATGTTTCAGTACGGACGCGTGTATCCTCATCAAGCAAGTGATATTACTTAGCACAAGCAGCTGTATCGAGGCGTTTCACTGTAAGGAAAAGGAAGTTGAATCTGTAAGTCGACTGTCGTTATTATTGAATGTTTTTCTTGCCATTTCTTTGGCAAGGGTGACCAAGTCGTCTAAGGCGCTGTGATTCGCTGTGCAGAGTTGCATCCCTTGGGCACGCCAGAAACCTATGATTGTGGGTTCGAATCACGGTTCTCTCCAATTATGTTTCTAGGTTTGTCAGCACCATACCCGTGCTCGTGGGTTTCACTGAAGTGGTAAACATCTGAGACCTGCATCACTTCAAGCTTTCCTCCCACATTAAGCTGACACGCCATGATATAACTGGAATACTGTTAAATGTGGCGTTAAATCCAACTCACTCACTCACTCACTCTTGCCATGACATGTAGCAGTGGGAACATTTTCTTTTCCTATGATAAACCTTTTCTTTGAAATTCTTTTCAATCTTAAATAATTATTTTGTCTTGTGTAAGGACAGTGTCGTCTTTCCCAAGCCGACAACAGGGATCGCTTTGGGTGAGATTTTGGGATATTTGGTCACAAATTTTCAACTCTTCCATTATGCCACCTTCAGTGAGAGAATATCTTGCCACATTAATATTGCACATGTAATTTTCTTGAATGTCAGCCAGATGATTTCAACAGCTAACAGTGCTTCGCACATTTAACATTCAAGGCTAACTTGCATGTACGTCATTAGCTTTTTTATATGTAGGTCTCCCTTAAAATCTGAAACTTGAGCTGCAGGTTTTCAAAATGTCTTTCCTGAGTTTGACTTGGGTAGGTTATCAATATGTAACTCAGGCAAATACTAATCTGCTGGTTTCAAATATATACAAGTGCATCACCTACAACACTGGCCCCAATATGTATTTCAGCAATGTGTAGTGCTTTCAACTAGTATCGCAAAGTTGATTCTGAACTGGTACATGTACATCAAGATGTTTACAAACCATGTTTACACACAATACATATGATATTAAACCTACAAATACTACAACATGTACAATCAGCAAATATTTACTTCATGTCAATATTTGTTTTCAGTATTTATGTTAATATATATATCATTGGTTTTGATTGACCCTGAAACAAGGGAAGTCACTCTAACCAAATTACAGTACTTAAAGTTGTTGACGGCCATACATTTAAGCAGCATGCTAATAGCTTAATCATGTTAATTACACATTTTAGTTCCCCCACCTCAGACCCCCAAGTTTCCAAATTCCAAATTTCTCAAAATTGAAAATAATCAATCCTAAACGCCCCAGGTCGCTCACCTTTCAGACACACCCTCCTTGGCAATCTCACTAAATGGCCTGGCAGGCCCTTCTGCTAAATATGTATAATGTCAGAAAGCGCACGTTAAATCTCCAATAGTAAGTTAGTAATTACACATACAAATTCATAGTAGGGATGGGACGGGTAACTCAGGTACTCGGGCCAGGTGGGTATTAAGTAGGACCCGGGTACCCAAAGTACTACCCGGATCCGTGGTTAATCCGGGCACCCTGGACCCCACCTCTGGATCCGTCCATGAAATGTGAACACCATAAATATTATAGCAACAAACAAGCTGTGGCCATTTGATTATTATAAGGCAACACATTTTTAGTATTTGATGGCAATAATTTAAGCATTACAACCAGTACTGCAAGCTACAAACAAAACAGTCAATCAATAATCTCCTCTAAACAACAAATCTGCTCAGATTCAATCCAGGAATTGCTCTCAGCCTCAGGCCACGAAACATGCTACACTCCACCCACTTATATTAACAGACCCAGCTCATAACACTGGGATCAGCTGGTACAAAGAAGTAGATATGAACCAAGATATTATTTCTTACTACGCTTGTAAATAATGTGGAGATGAACAATTCTTGGTATTGTCCCTGGAATAATATTCATTACTTTGAATAAGACATATGACCTTTCTATTGCCTGCCTTCAGCAGATTACAGATCTATACAGATCTATGGGGTGAACACAGTCATACTCCTTCAGAATGACAAGTAGATACTAGACCAGGCCTTTGTGAGTGGGAAACTTGAGATCTAAGTACCCAACATGCAAAAACTGTTCAGCTGTCACATTGAGCTTGCCAATTGTCTGTCCTGGGTCTGTTGAGTCGAGTGACATTAACATACAGCCTCTAGCTGTATCTGTGTACAGCTCTCCAACAATCAGTTGCTATCGATACTAATACTGTCTACAGTAACAGCTACTGTCGACACTACTAGCTACTACTGTCTACAGTAACAGGTACTGTCGATACAAATAGCTACTACTGTCTACAGTAACAGCTACTGTCGATACTAATAGCTACTACTGTCTACAGTAACAGCTACTGTCGATACAAATAGCTACTACTGTCTACAGTAACAGCTACTGTCGATACTATTAGCTACTACTGTCTACAGTAACAGCTACTGTCGATACTAATAGCTACTACTGTCTACAGTAACAGCTACTGTCGATACTAATAGCTACTACTGTCTACAGTAACAGCTACTGTCGATACTATTAGCTACTACTGTCTACAGTAACAGCTACTGTCGATACTAATAGCTACTACTGTCTACAGTAACAGCTACTGTCGATACTATTAGCTACTACTTTCTACAGTAACAGCTACTGTCCATACTAATAGCTACTACTGTCTACATTCACAGCTACTGTCGATACTAATAGCTACTACTGTCTACAGTAACAGCTACTGTCGATACTATTAGCTACTACTGTCTACAGTAACAGCTACTGTCGATACTAATAGCTACTACTGTCTACAGTAACAGCTACTGTCGATACTATTAGCTACTACTGTCTACAGTAACAGCTACTGTCGATACTTATAGCTACTACTGTCTACAGTAACAGCTACTGTCGATACTAATAGCTACTACTGTCTACAGTAACAGCTACTGTTGATACTAATAGCTACTACTGTCTACAGTAACAGCTACTGTCGATACTAATAGCTACTACTGTCTACAGTAACAGCTACTGTCGATACTAATAGCTACTACTGTCTGCAGTAACAGCTACTGTCGATACTATTAGCTACTACTGTCTACAGTAACAGGTACTGTCAATACTAATAGCTACTTCTGTCTTCTATTAAGGTAACCGAAACATTCTTCAAAGTGGTGTCAAAGCAACTCTTTCCCTCCTTCTTTAGTAACATTTCCTACCTCTTCAGTTTGGCGACTGTGACCTCAGCAATCTTCCTCTCCTCAGTACGAACCCGAGCCAATGCCACAAGAAGATCTGCATCATTCTTCTTCTCCACTTGACTCACCGCTTCTTTCAGCGCCAATTCTCCCTTTGTACGTTCCTCCTTCACTTGTTCCAGCGCCAATTTTTGCATGGCCATTTCCACCTTCAGACCTTCTTCCTGCAAGTCACAAATGTCTTTCGGTCTTGATGAGATTATTAACATTACTATCATAACAATGTTCAAAGGGATGCCATGCTTTGATATTTGTCAATTCCGTTTTCAAATAATATATATTCCAATATTTTAAAATTTCATTCTCTTTTCACCACAAGTATTGGAATAACTTCTTTGATAGGCATTTAGAAGTTGGAGTACTAAGTAAGGATAAGAATTTATGGATGAACAACTTCTTTATTACAATTAAGAGCGACGTTTCGGTGTAGGTTCTCACACCTACTTGCTTGATAACGGTGTTGGAACCTACACTGAAACGTCGCTCTTAATTGTAATAAAGAAGTTGTTCATCCATAAATTCTTATCCTTACTAAGTATTGGAATAACAAAAACAGTTACAATGATGGTACTTAACTCATTAAACAGTGTTTCTCGCCAATTTTGATGGGGTCATGAATATTACAGGACTGCACGAAAATGGCGCATATACCACAGTATGCAGGAATGTGCATTACAATGAAACATGTTACAAAACGTTCCTATGTGCCAGTATAACGGGTGAAAAATAGTTTCATTATTATTATTGTTTAGCCTAAAATCTACACAGAAATTCCTTCACAAATTATGTTGCCCTTAGAAAATGACAGATATGTGGATGTGATTTTTCTCCCGTTATCTCCCGTTTCCATTACAGCAAAATGGCAGCGACTGACAATGCTAGGTAATATCACAATCCATATCACAAATACAAATACTGGTATGGCATTATATTGCAATACATTTGTTTTGCCAATACACGACCATGTTCTGTAGTACCATATTCAATGTAATAAGCGCCCAGGGTGCTCTCAAAATTTGAAACAGGGGGCTCTTATTAGAAAATTATTTTGGTGAGTTGAAAGATCGTAAATTTTGTGATTTATGCTGACAGCCTGAAATGTTTATATACGACAGATATATTTTTCCAGAATTTAATTGCGCATAATTAAGGGTGTATATAACACACGAGTGCGTATTATACACAAATAAATAAGTTTTGTGTACATTGATCAATCGGAAGGGGTGCTAATTGGGATTGTTCATTTGCCAATATATTAGCAAATATTGCCATGGGCACTTATTAGAGCGGGACGCTTATTACATCGAATAAGGTAATCCAAAATGCCTTCAAATATAGTTTTTGTAACCGCTTAACATAAACAGTTAATTGTAAATTATCCAACTGCATGGCATTAATTTATATTTCAGAATATATATTAAACAATGAATGATCCATTAGCAACGCTGAGTAACAGACACCTCCATGGTCTGGCAATGGAGTGTCATACCAAAAGATGTTAAAAGATGGTACTTGTGGCTAAAACAAGGAGTGGTCGGCTCAGAGTCAGTATACTGTGTCTGAGTGGGGTATTCATGTTAAACTGCGGCATGGTATCTCAGTGAGCTAGCACTATAAATCGGCATCAGTCCAGATTTGTACAAGCAGCCACACACACACTTGCCAAATAAGTGTGTTCATCTTGGACGCGACGTTAAACCCCATTTCACCCCGCCTCACTAAGTAACAGCTTGTGTTGGTTGCTTCGTGCTACATCAGCAAAATGACAGCATCCTGTAAATAATCAAGCCTGGACCAGATAATCCAAAGACTGATATCATCAGCCATCAGGTTATGATGGCACAAAAGTCAACCAAATCACCGATCCTGACCACCTGGTCTAATAGGACGGCTCTAAGTCCAGAATAGGGTGCTGGGGGCTTATTGAACATTAACTTGTCCTTACTTTACCATTGCTATGGCGACACTTTTCAAAGTTTGTTGGTTTACAGATTTAACTTACCTAAGGCAAAAGCTAGGATTAACAGTGATTAGAAAATAATGAATATAGTTCATACATATTTGTCCATCTGCTTTATCTATAACAAAGGGGACACAGGGGACTGAATTGTCTAAGGTGGTGCTATTCACTGTGCAGAGTTACGTCCCTTGGGCACGCCAGAAACCTGATTGTGGGTTTGAATCCTGGTTCACCCTGATTATGTTTCTAGGTTTGTCAGCACCATACCCGTGCACTTGGATCTCACCACAATGGTAAATGTCTGAGACCTGCATCACTAGGGGCTTTCCTCCCACATTGAGCCGACATGCCGTTATATACCGTAGTCGACGTAATAAGCGACCAGGGCGCTCTCAAAATTAGAAAAATGGGGGCTCTTAATAGAATATTATTTTGGAAGTTTGGAGTTGAAAGATAAATTTCGTTGTTTATGCTGACAGCCTGAAATGTTTATATACCACAGATATATGTTTCCAGAATTTAATTGCCCATATCTAAGGTGCATATAACACACGAGTGCGTATTATACGCGAAAAAATAAGTCTTGTGTACATTGATCAATCGGAAGGGGTCCTAATTGGGATTGTTCACTTGCAAATATATCAGCAAATATCGCCGTGTGCGCTTATTAGAGTGGGGTGCTTATTACGTCGAATACGGTAACTGGAATACTTTTCAAGGCGCTATTTATACCCAACTCACACACTTTAATGGAATCGAAAGACACCACTACAAAAACTCAAACCAGGGTCATAACTACCTTTGTAGCACAAAAACAATTGCTTACACCTAAAAAAAAAGAAAAAAAAAATTTCACCGAAAAGAACACACTTTTTTTTATAATATGTAAACCTCACTTTATCATCTATTCAGTAAATTATTAATTCAAAATCTACATGGTAGATCATGATATTTATTGTCTATCTTGAAAATCAGACTCTTTACGGTGAGGTGAAGATGAGGTGAAATTGGGTTTTACGTCGCGTCCAAGATTATTGCACTTATATATTGTACGTTTGTGCTGCTTGTACCAGTCCGGACTGATGCCGATTTATAGTGCTAGCTCACTGAGATACCATGCCGCAGTTTAACATGAATACCCTACTCAGACACAGTATACTGACTGAATCAGATACAACTCATGAATATTAATTAGACCGTTCAATACGTTAACAGATCGTTATTATAACAGAAATATATGTATGTTTTAGATGTAATTCTAAAATGATGTTATTTGTTATTAATTGTCCGGTGAATTAAACAATTTAAATTTAAACAATTTAATTCATAATTCATCATATTATGAATACGTAACAACTTGTAATGTGTGTGATAAGTTGTACTAATATACGCTATTTGAAGGGGGCGTGGCCTAAATGCAAATGTCCGATTGGGATTTTAAATTTTCCGGACCCCTGTCTGACTCTGAGCCGACCAGTCCTTGTTTTAGCCATTTACTGCCAAGAGCCAGACAGGGTAACAACAAGTACCATCTTTTAATGTCTTTCGGTATGACTTCCGCTCTCCAAGCAGACGCTCTACCTCTAGACCACGCAGGCGGTCCAGAATCTTTCCGCACTTTGGGGATTTTAGTGGTAGATGGTTTATCAAGTTGTGGGAGTGATGTCTCTTTGTTGACACGAGGCACAATGTTAATATAGACCGTCAACGAAGATTGAAAGGAAGGCTAATTTAGATCATCATGACATCCTATTAATAGCCCAATAGTAGCATATTAGTGGTCTAATAGTAACTTTTGTATAACTATGCTTACTGGTATTTCACTCAGGCTAGCAGGGAGCCCTTTAAAGTAAGAGTTTCCCAAAATATACATACTTTGTAATGTAATCAATCTGCGCTCTAACAATTGTTTTCATTATAATGAGAGGGTGGCTCGCATTAAAATATGAAAAAATAAATAACCATCGCATACAATGAATGAACATGTAAAAACACATGAAAGTATAATATTATCAATTAGTTTTAATGTTCAAATTTCATTTGTCATCATAGATATGTTTCTTGAATGAAATTCAAACATGTGTTGGTGAAACACGTACATATATATATTACTAATGAAAAATTATAATAAATATTAGATACAAATGAAATCTAACATAATTTGTCCCAAAATACAGGAAATAGTGTTAAAGGGCATCTAATTTTAAAAAAAATTTTGCTTACACTTAAAATTAGCCTAGTTGCTCAAGCAATAATTATTTTTTAAAATAATAAATAAAAAGGCCCCATAAACAGAATCAACATTTACTCTTTTGAATTTTTCCCATTAAACTGTACCCGTGAAGATCCAGGGTAGAATAGGTCTTCAGCAACCCATGCTTGCCGTAAAAGGCGACTATGCTTGTCGTAAAAGGCGACTAACGGGTTCGGGTGGTCAGGCTCGCTGACTTGGTTGATGCATGTCATCGATCCCAATTGCGTGGATCGATGCTCATGATATTAATCACTGGATTGTCTGGTCCAGACTCGATTATTTACAGACCGCCGTCATATAGCTGGAATATTGCTGAGTAGGGCGTTAAAAAACCAACCAACCAACCAACCCATTAAACTGACTGAACCAACCGACCTCACATCATGCTGCACAAGTTTTTATTATGTTCTCACATTACTGGACATGGTTGACGTTGGTACAATGTGTTTTCTGATTGTGATTCAGTGGCTGGTGACCAGGACTCACTGACAGCAGCAGGTGATGAATGACAATGGCTGTCACTGAGGAGACAAACAACACTAGCCCTAACATTCCTGACACACTGACAGGAGGTCAAATATTATCCCTCGCCAGAATAAACTCATCAGGATAAATGACTTTCTAACTTTCACACATCCTTTGAAACCTTCATTAACCTCGGGCTAGTGGGCTAGTGTTGTAAATTGCTAACTCGAATTAACATGATTAAGGTTTACTGAAGGAAAAAAATATACACAACATTCTTTAAAAACAGAACCCCAAAATGCCAAGGTGGTGTCAAAGGTTTGTAAAAATTAATAATGGTTGTAAAAATCCCTTAGCATTAAATTGTAAAATAATTCAAATATTTATTTGATATATTTCAAAATATTTAAGCATTCAAAAATAAGTTCTAGTTCAGTTGTAAAATCATCTTATTAACATTTTCCTAATGCAGAAAACACCAGCACATGTACAGCCTTTGAAATTCACGCGGGTCTGAGACTACGAAATTGTGCTGAAAAGTAGAAATCCAATGATGGTTGTCCGTATTTGATGTAATAAACGCCCCGCTCTAATAAGCACTCATGGCAATATTTGCTAAAGCATTGGCTAGTGAACAATCCCAATTAGCACCCCTTCCGATTGATCAATGTACACAAGACTTATATATTCGTGTATAATACGTACTCGTGTGTTATATGCACCCTAATTATGGGCAATAAAATTCTGGAAAACTATATCTGTTGTATCTAAACATTTCAGGCTGTCAGCATAAACCAAGAAATTCACGATCTTTCAACTCTGTATTTTCACCAAAATAATATTCTAATAAGAGCCCCCTATTTCTAATTTTGAGAGCGCCCTGGGCTCTAATTATGACGAATACAGTATTTGAATTCTTGACCAGTTCTCGATGCTTCAATTTTGCAACAAAGCGGAACTGACTAAAACTGACAGAAATAGTAAACATAATAAACATTTTTGTGGACAAGTGAATTAAGGGTTTACTCAAGTCCTCTGGACTAGTCCTAAAAAAGACTAATTTCTAAGACTGCATGTATTGATTTTATAGAAAATAATTATAAGTGTATTACGAAGACATTGATAATGCAAAAAGGACTTGCAAAACCAATGACAGTAGAATTCAGTTGACTATCATCTTCTTGAGGCAAGGAAGTTAACTAATTCAAAAGTCCAGTTTCCACCCTTGCTGATCTAGGCTTGATTAATAGAGTCGTATTTTGGCTGGAATAAGAAGTCTATGCATATATGCTCAAGTGATTTATGCAATTTGCGAGATAAAACCAGTTTTATTTCAATAAAGATATTTATCATCGATGAGATCATCTTTAATGGGCACCCCCATTTTGTTTAAAGAAAATGCAAGTTATCCAAGAGGTGGAATCTGATTGGTCAGTAGGGGGACATAGAAGGGACATAACTCGTATTAGCCACTGGTGGCTACGATCGAGCCAAGAAATTCCAGCTAAATTTGGCAAGGGTGGAAACTGGACTTATGACAGTCAGTTAACTCCCTTTCGTCAGGAAGATGGTTGATTATCTGTGTCACTAACAGTGTCACTGAGGCATTTTCACGAGTACAATTTCAGATTGGGATTTTTTTAATAAAGTCTTTAATAGCAACTACTTTTTATTCCTTGTATGATGTTTCACAGCTACTTCCTGCTCCTCCTTCTGGTGAATGCTTAGTAAGGTGGGATGACATGTTGTTATCTTTGTACATTCATCCATCCTTATGATATAGATAGATAGATAGATATAGTACTCTATGCACTTACTCAGCATTCACCTGATGAAGAAGCAAGAAGTAGCTCTGAAACGTCGTACAAAGAATAAAAAGAAGTTGCTATTGACTCAGTGGAATTAGGTCATCAATGATTGATGGTTAATCTAAATATTAAAATTAGAGATACGAGACATACAAAAGTTTTAACAACTTGAACCAAATTTTAACTTAAAGGAATAACAATTCACCAGGGTTAGAAATTGGCACTAGTCCTTGCCAAACTGCCATTTAGTAAAGGTATCATAAGGACTAGTACAAATTTGCCATTTTTAGGGGTTTTGCTATATGTTATAGTTATAAGGACTAGTGGACTGAAACTGTTTCTACCGCTGTTCACCAAGACTAAACCCCTTCAAGGCCTTTAGAGTCGAATTATAACAGAATAGAAAGATGTGAGGTCGGTATTACCTTCAGCTTCTTGTCCATCTCCTTATGCATTTTCCTGATTATCTTCTCTTGATCCAACTTGGCCTGTTTATTTGCTTGCTGGATGGCGGTGTCCTGTCCCCCCTGGGCCTGGCGCCATACCATCTCCTCCGCCTGCCGTATAGCCTGTAGCTTCTCCTGCTCAATACGTTCCACTTGGCGCCGGTGAATCTCATGGCCAAATCCTACATTTTACAAACATGAATGGTTTCAGGTGAGGTGAGGTGAAATTGGGTTTAACGTCGCGTCCAAGATTATCGCACTTATATAGCGACGTGCATGCACGTGTATGTGTGTGTGTGGCTGCTTGTACTAGTCCGGACTGATGCCGATTTATAGTGCTAGCTCACTGAGATACCATGCCGCAGTTTAACATGAATACCCCACTCAGACACAGTATACTGACTCCGAGCCGACCAGTCCTTGTTTTAGCCCCTTAATGCCGAGCGCCAGACAGGGTAACAACAAGTACCATCTTTTAACGTCTTTTTGTATGACGCGGCCCGGGATCGAACCCTGGACCTTCCGCTCTCCGGGCGGACGCTCTACCACAAGACCACGGAGGCGGTCTGAATGGTTTCAGAATGATCACACAAAACATGTTTGAAACATTTAACGCATTTGGTTCCAAATTCAATTTAGCGTGGTTAAATCTACAGGTAACCTTACTCTACATTGACAACACAGTGTGTTTATCTCCTAAAGACTTGACATACAAAAAAACCATAACTGAGAAACATGGCTTCTGTGGCTGACCTGAGTATGGTGACTAACAATAATTTCAACCGATTTATGTTATAGTGAGTGTGTGAGTTGGGTTTAACGTAGCTTTTAACAGTATTCCAGTTATATCGTGGCGTGTCAGCTTTATGTGGGAGGAAAGCCCGAAGTGATGCAGGTCTCAGATGTTTACCACTTTGGTGAAACCCACGAGCACGGGTATGGTGCTGACAAACCTAGAAACATAATCGGGGTGAACCGGGATTCGAACCCACATTCGAACCAGGATTCTGGCATGCCAAAGGGACGCAACTCTGCACAGGGAATAGCGGTGCCTTAGATGACTGGGCCACCCGTGCCGCCTACTTACGCTACAAGTGTTATATGGGATGTCATCACTTACGATATGACGTCAAGAACGGGCAAACACAGGGGACATGTAAACTACCAATAACATGAATATAGCAAGTCAAACTACATCTTTGTGCCAGACCACTACTGCCTAGTGATCAGTTGTTGCAGAGGACCGATTATTATCAATAGCTATTTTCCCCAAAATACAAAATCTGAATATACCGCGAAATCCATAGTACATATTATTATGGATAAGCATAGATAGATCACATTTTTGGAATATTGGTTTATGCATTTGGAAGTCAACAAAATGATAAAATCATTTCTTCTTAAGTTTATTGAATATAATTTATGAGTGTGATACCAGAGATAACAAAAAACATAATTTATATACCGTATTCGACGTAATAAGCGCCCCGCTCTAATAAGCGCCCACGGTGACATTTGATAAGATATTGGCTAGTGAACAATCCCAATTAGCACCCCTTCCGATTGATCAATGTACACAAGACTTATTTATTTGCGTATGATAAGCACTCATGTGTTATATGCACCCTTAATTATGGGTAATTGAATTAAGGAAAAATATATCTGCCGTACATAAATATTTCAGCATAAATAACAATATTTATCTTTCAACTCAGTTTTTTTTCCACCAAAATAATATTCTAGTAAAAGCCCCCTATTTCTAATTTTGAGAGCGCCCTTGGCGCTTATTACATCGAATACGGTAAATGAACTTGTGCGTTTGATCATGCGCACATGCTGTTTTCACAATGACGATAACTGGCAATTAGTCAAGGGGAAAGTTCTATTGCCTCTATTTACATTCCTCTTGTCACGTTATAACAGGAAAATATCCAAACATTGTACATGGAGAGAAATAAATGAATTTGCTCTTAGTGATCGGTACAGTCAACTTTATACAAGGAATATTTCAGAAATAACACAGGAAAAACGGCAAGAACTGGTTATTGGCCAGTACATCTTTGATACTGGTTTGGGCTGGGATGAGTCCAAATTTACTACCCGGGTACCTGAGACCCTGTTAACCACTCTCCTACCCAGAGTTCCATGCAGCCGGCAGCCAGCCAGCATAGTACCTCTGCCACAGGCCAGCGCCATGTGACGATTCGTCACATCTTTCACAGTCCATTCAAGATATTGAATATGCTTTTCATCCGTTTCATGTATGACAAGTCAACACATTTTCATAAACAAACGTCAAAGAATGGTTACGGTTCATTAAGAAAGTATCCTAATACGTGAAAATCTATTTGTTTTTGCGTAGTTATTCTTTGTTTACATTGGTTGTAAGGCTCCACGTGCTGTCATCGAAGCCCAACGGAGAGCTGGCGATACGGTCTTTTTGATGCATAAATGTATATTGTCATGCAACTCACTGTCGCAGTTGTAGTAGCATATCTATATAATTATGCAAAACAATATGTTAAGCGACCCCAAATACTTGCATTAGTCCGTTCTACATTGATTTCTGAAAAAGCGTGTTTGTTTACAAACAAGAGAAAAGTCCGGTCACGTGATATGCAAATTAGCCTGTGGCAGTGGTGTTATGATGAGTCACCACTGCGCCGGAGTTCGCCTGTTAACCGGCCCTTCCCGTGCACCAGCTACAGGTCTACAGGGTTGCGTACAAAGGGGAATTGTTTTACCACAGTCCTGGTAAAAACAATTTAGATACAGGTATAAAATGATCTAATCCTGCATACACTGAAGTTGATAGACGCTTTGTCCTTACTTGAACATATAAAAATCAGAATGAAAGCTTGCACAGTCAGAAAGAAATGAGTTCATTAATGACTTGTAGTGTAACCATGGAGTTTTATTGTTAATGTCATTAAACAGTTTATCACATGACTAACCATGGGTCCGGGTAGTCGTGTGGGTACCCGGGTCCTACTCCACTACCCCAACCCAACAGATTCAAGTACCCGAGTTACCCGTCCCTTAAAGTGATGCTGTCAAGATATGATGATACGAGCACAGGAACTCAATGATAGCCTGTATAACATAATATATTCATATAGAAAAAAATCACACCCATCTATATACATATAGACGGGTGTGACTTTTTCCTATACAAATATATATTATGTACACAATATCTTCGAGTTCCTGTGGATATGAGATGCTATTTATTGACTTAACTGTTGAAACCCTGAAAAATTGATTGCATGAAAATGTTATGGTCGAAACAAACAGAGTGGTCCTCTTCATGCAAGATTTTGTAAAATTTGGGTGGAAAATATAAAATCCATTGAACACTGATCTGCTTCAAGACTTTAAGTTCACTTACCTAAGATTCTTCTGTGAGTAAAATCCTGAACAACCACGGGTCGGGTTTCCTCGTAACGTCTGGGCACAACTGGATACTTAGGAGTTGAGAGAGAGGGTAGTGTCATCTCCATTGTAAAAATATATCGACTATATTCCTGTCCCTTACAGTAAGTTACACTCAAAAGTTGCTATCGAACAGAGCTGTTCTTGCAAAAAAAGTTGATTTACTTAGCAATCACTACAAGGGAAATTGCATGATCCATGACAGTCGAGTAATCGCACGCAAAGACCCTCATAGAAATATACCTCACGCGACATTTACTGTTATTTGTGCGATAAGCGGTTCATTGATCAAGAAATCGATGGCCAAATCAGCAATCTGATCCACATGCTGTCAGTGTTGACATTCGACCGCATCACAACTGGAACGCCTCCACTAAATATAGTTCAGGGTTGTTTTTCTTTTCATCATTCTTTATTTTCTTTGACTGTCGTAATAATTTTCCTGTTTGGGTATCTCGGATGTTTTGGTTTAAAACCATAAAATGTTTTTTAAGAGCAAATTCTCCTTTCGCCAATTAACAAGCACTCATGCGGAAGACTATTCAACTCCATTCGGCGTCGTTCCGTATCCATTAGAGATCACGTACGTGGTCACGAAATATCGCGAGACTGGGAAGTGTGACGTCATTCACGTCAGCTCATGGCCGACCCAAGGTGCTGGGAGGAGTGGAAGTGGTACATATTTTTCTGATAATTGTGTAATGACTGGAAATGTTGTACCAAACACATTTCTCGTTTGATTTATCACATAGTCACTTATCGTACTGTGTATGTTTGATGACTGTTTTACTTTCTGAGACACTTGTCATAAGGATAGAGATGACTGTAAACACGAATATATGCATGCCACGTGCTTCCTCTGCTGAGTGAGGGATGCCCTCTGTTCGATATGTAGGATTGACGCCTATTTTGATCTAGTGAATGAATTGCATTTTATAAGTTGACGACTTGAATAGTCTGTAGGTTGTGTATCTATTAGGGAAATTGACAATTAGCATTGGTAGTTCTGTGTTATCTGTTGCAACACGTTCATTGTGAAATAGCCTGCACCACGTGGGGAACGATTAGCAATTAGATGACCATGGCCTCAGTGGTCTATGATCATGTGTTGCCAACAGTTTGTAGATGAATGGAAAGTTCAATAAGAAGCGTTGCAAACCATTTTTGATTTTGGCTATTTTTCATGAATTGATTACTATTAACGATTCGTAAAGTTACAAGAATCAATTATGTTAGGCTAGATGTGGTCAAGGATGTGATATTCAGGGTGGGTTGTTGTCGGCAGCGGTATGACAGATATGTACCCCAGGTACGTTTCCATATACAGCACTTTGTAACACTGCCTGAAAATACTCTGTCCAGAACATATCACGCACCAGAATGTTACAAGCAGAACACTCATCAGTAGGCATGGTTGGGGGAGAGGTCTCCCAGAGAATGCTTGTACTTTGTCTGCTATTTATTGTGTCAAACAGTCCAATTTTAACAGAGCTATTTCTTAATGAACAAGTTGTAATTAATTTCCCTTTTTTATTTTTAACAAAATATTTTTCGAATTTCCATGGCAAGATGTTTCATATTGTTATCTACAATATATTTGCCATTGCGGGGGATTTCGAGGACTTTGTCTTCTTGTTATTCTGCGATTTTGTTTTGATAAAGTCTACCAGCCAACATTTGGAGATTCTTTTTTTTAAAAATTCAGAAGACATGCAAGCTTATGCACCAGCATGTTATATATATAAGAAATAAGCATACACTGTATATTCCATGATGCATAGTATGACCCAGCATGCACTCTAAATTAGAGGAACCGAAACAACAACTTGAATCGGGAGGGGAGACATTGTGAGTCATAGCTTGAAGATATTTAATGTTTTTCAACAAAACTTGGCATATTCATTGCTCATCAGCTCAACTGGTGTCTTTTACCAATTTGAAAGTTTTCTAACTTTTCTTATGTTTCCATGGAAACAATTTCGACTTCGTCTCAAACAAAGGTATGGTTTGTTCCTGGGCCATATCTTGAAAAAAATCATGAATATATTTTAGTGAAACTTGGCATTGAAAATGTGCATTGCACATAGCTTAACTGGTGCCTTTGGCATTTGTAAATTTGATCTTGTTACGTTTCCATGGAAACAACTCTTGGCTTTCATTTCCGAGCCAAAACTAGCCAATCCCGTGAATATTTCTGCATGATGAAACTATACATGTGCAATGACCACATATTCAACTGTTGCCTTTTTATATTATTAAATTTCAATTGTTTTAGATTTTTTAAATGATTTGTTTTCATGGAAACAATTTCAACTAATGTATTACAAGAGAGGAGGGTTTTTATGAGTAAAAACGTGGGGTTTTTTTTAAGGTGAACTTTGAAAAGCAACATCTGTTTTTCTTTGTGGGTCACTTCCTTGTTTTTCAAAATGAGTACCAATTTTCTACCTTTCGTTTCAGAGTTTGAGGTATACTTGCACGTACACCCTCCAAGACAATTTGAGAATACGGTGAGTGTTTGTTTATTCAGATCATTGAAAGTATTGAAACACTGTTTAATGGGTTAAGTACCTCTATCATTGGTGAACACTGGTTTTGTTCTTCCAATATTTCAAGAAAGAGTAACTTTAGATTGAAAGGCAAGATCTTTTGTATATTTACCCTGTAGTCTTTAGAAAAAGCTTCTTGCTGGTGTCCTGTGTTGACTAATGGGTGGCCCAGTTGTCTAAAGCACTGCAATTAGCTGTGCAGAGTTGCGTCCCTTTGACACACCAGAAAACTATGATTGTGGGTTCGAATCCGTGTTCGCCTTGATTATGTTTCTGGGTTTGTCAGCACCATAACCCATGCTCGTGGGTTTCACCGAAGTGGTAAATGTCTGAGACCTGCATCGCTTGGGATTTCCTTCCACATTAATATGTTACACGGTGATATAACTGGAAAACTGTATTTGGGAGACAGAAGAGCCACACAAACCGGGCATTTGTTAGTTACTTTGGCAGTGCTGGCGACAGTGGCATTGGGGCAGTTCCATGATTTTATTAACTTTTGACAGGACTTTCTTCTATATCTCCACCAAATTGGAAAAATATGGATTTGGGATGAACTCCAGTGTCTTAGAAAATGAACCGATCTGAAACCTGGCTGCTGTAACTTCAATAATTGTTGTCACTACATGTATCAGCAAACGCGACTATGCTTCACTGATCATGCTCTCAACAACTGCAGGGTATAGATATGTACAGGCTGTTTTTTCAGAGTGCGCCAGTATGTGTCATTTGAAACATTCAGTGACATGCACTAGCCCATTGACTCAGTGTGTAACTACAATTCAGAACATACAACAGGGTTTTGCCTTGACTTAGAACATCTACCAAATTGCTGATCCAAAGTGACCTTCAATAATTAATTTTAAGGGTCCTCGCACAGTTGCAGGCAATGTGTCAAAATAATGAAATGGTGTAGTGTACTGCATGTTTTGTATCTGTGATGGATGAAATGACTGCTTTTGTTAACTGTAGGTACAATGAATATTATTGTGCGTCCTGACTCCTGAGGGACGCAGCGTATTCTTTTCCTCTGTCCAATCTCAATGTTTGTGCGTACAGTTTTGTAAGTGTATTTTGAGTATCTCGTGTTTCATTTACAGATCCACCAACACTGAAAGTCAGTTATGTGGAAAGTAGGTTTACGTTTATACTTTAAACTTTAAACCAAGCCTGGTGATCATGTGTCATGTGTAAACATTGGATATGTATTCCGTGTCTGACTCTACTGGTACATGTGCAGTGACCTCATCTTGTTTGTTCAAATCTGTTCATAGCCATGATCAGTTCTCCAAGCAGTGTGGCTTTGTTCCATTGTACACAGATAATGTAGATGCAGCGTTAAATTTTAATTCGCTCACTCTGGCGAAGACATTTCACAAAAAATTGTTGAAATAGTTTGAAAGTGTATGTCTCTCTCATCCTACTGGTGTCTTGGTTGATAGCTTGTCATCGTACTCTGACGGCATGGATTGTTGCTCATAATCATGATAATATCAGTCACTGGATTGCCTGTTTCAGATTTAATTACACAGGCCACCGACCTTAATCTAGAATGTATTGCTGAGGGCAGTGTTAAACAAGCAGTTGTCTTACCATGCCTACCAACCCTGTACTACACAAACAATTTAAACAAGCACTTAGCTATTCTTTTCATTTTGGCCACTGACCACAGTGTTTCTGAAAAAAATCTGTAAACCAACTAATAAACAAAGGGCCTGGGTTATTTTGTGTGTGGTTGTTTATTTACCTTGCATGGTGTAGAGACCACCCTTGGAGAGCAGTAGGTTGGGGGTTCGATCCGTCCGCTTTATACCAAAAAGATGGTACTTGTTACCCTGTCTGGCGCTGGGGATTAAGGGTTATTGGTATATTACCGTGTCTGAGAGGGGTATTCATGTTTTTCCGTGGCATGGTATTAAAGTGGGCTAGCACTATAAAATTGGCATTAGTCCGGACTAGGACACACACGCACATCGTATATAAGTGCAATAAAATGCATGTAGGTTGGATGTAGTTTCTTGCACAGGCACTACCCAAGGTACTGTCACATGTACGGAATCTAGAAATTGGCACTAGTCCTAAAGGACTAAGTGTTTGCTATATATGTTGTTATAAGGACTAGTTATAGTAGACTAAACTGTTTCTATCGCTGTTGTTGTGGTGTAATTCTGCTTACAATAATTGGTCCCCAGCGGCCTGTTTGTCGTAAGGTGACTAATTGGATCTGGTGGCCAGACTTGTTCATTGCAAGTCATTGTATCCCAATTGCATAGAACCGAGGCCATGCAAAACACTACAGTTACACTTACAGAACACTGGAATATTGCACTGGAAGCACTGATGAAAAAACAAAAATATACTTTTATACCCATTCCCCAATACAATATAATGTAAGGCTATGCATGCCGCAACAGCTGTGTGGCAGCATTGTGGGGAAGTCAGTGACACTCATGCTGAAGAAGCTGTTGCCGTGAATTGATTATTACCCATTTGTGTTTGTTATTATCAATGTTGCTATTCCCTTTCAGGGCATTCCGGAGTGTCCCCAGTAAAGTCCTCTGTTAATAAATATGGTATGTATGCATCTATATGTACAAAGTGTGAACTAAATTAACAGATGTGTTAATGTTTTTTAGCCAGGCTGATTTAATCCTAGTCTGATTAAGTTTCTCGTTAAAGGGTATTGTCAGTCAGTGTTTTCAATGTTTGGAAATGGAGTAGTTTTTTAACTTTTAGAAAATTATGTACATAGCAGATTGTCTGTTGAACAAAATAATTTTGAGCTGATGTACAATAGTGACAAGTGATATTGGTGTTGTTAACTGCTATTCACAGTTGAAATTGTCAAAATCTTACGCTTCTAGATTCTTGGTGTCCTTAGAAATCTTTCATACAGTTTTACTGCCATGTTTTTGAAAAAAATATCAGACTGGAAGAATGTCATGTTTTTTCACATAATATCATGATTTTGTTCATGGTTTTGTTCAGAAATGTCTTGGTGTGAGTGGTTTGAAGAGTCATCATTCATTTCACAATGTCATTACTTTCCTTGTTGAACAGACGACCAGCGCTGCTGAGGCCTTGTTTGGGCTGGATTTACCATTCTCTGAAGACTCCAACAGCTCAGCTTTTGACATCCCGTCTTTGGGTAAGAGTTCATTGTAAATTGGGTGCACAGTGGGGACCCCCAGGAGCCTGTAGATCGAGGGGTGGGGAGCGGTGCCTTGGCTGATAGTGTCCTCCTATCCTGGCAGCGTGGAATGTTGCTCACGATATCAATCCCAATTGGAGATGCTCATGTCAAACTAACAAACTTCTGACATCAGAGGCGACTAACGTGATTGGGTGGTCAGGCTCGCTGACTTGGTTGATGCATGTCATCGATCCCAATTGCATGGATTGATGCTCATGATATTAATCACTGGATTGTCTGGTCCAGACTCAATTATTTCCATAAAGCTGGAATGTTGCTGAGTGCGGCGTTCAACAACAAACCTACAACCACAATAAAACCAGCATTAATCGTGACTAGTACAAGCAGCAACACGCACTCCACAATATAGGTGCAATCATGTTGAACACAAGGTTACGCCCCATTTGAGCCCCCTGCATGCTTGTTCAGGGTATCAGTTGTGTTGTGATTGCATGGGTTTACATGTGTTGCAGGCATCGAGGCTGAGGATCTGTCCAGCTTACTGACCCAGTTTGAAGAAGGTATGTTGCACATCAGTTGGGACTTAAGATTCCTTGATGTTGGATATTGTTACTTTATTCCTCGAAGCACCCCTGACCAACTTCTGGACCAATTTGGTACCCTTGTAAGCACCCCTGCTAAGACAGAAAGTGTGTATGATTTTATTTAGTGACCCCTTTTATCATGTAAAACTATTTTCTAAATGCCCAGAGCGCTTATATGGCGAATATGGTTATTGGGGAACGAAAGTTTGTCAATTCCTCTTCCACACTATTGAGTCACTGGTCCCGACATCAATGGCTATTTGTGAACTCTGTGGTCTAGTTGATGGAGTGTCTTTCTGGAGACCAAAAGGCCACTTTGATCCCTGGCTGTCATACCAGAAGATGGTACTTGTTGTTACCTTTTCTGGCGCTCAGGATTAAGGGACTAAAACAATGACTGTGTTCGGAGTATACTGTGTTGGGTTGAGGTGCCCAATGGTATCTGTGGGCTAGCACTATGTAACTGACATAGTCTCAGGCAGCCACACATACGTTAGTCCAGATCAGCATACTCATGTCAGACCCGTGAAGATATCCAGGGTCGTGAAGATCCGGGGTAGAATAGGTCTTCAGGAAAAGGCGACTATGCTTGTCGTAGGAGTTGACTAACGGGATCGGGTGGTCAGGCTCGCTGACTTGGTTTGATGCATGTCAGTGATCCCAATTGCAGGGATCGATGTTCATGATGTAAATCACTGGATTGTCTGGTCCAGACTAGATTATTTACAGACCGCCGTCATATAGCTGGAATATTACTGGGTGTGGCGTTAAACAACAAACAAAATCTTCAGCAACCTATGCTTGCACAGTTACGCCCTAGTTCCTATATCAGTAATTATTGTTTTCAGCATCACAGTCTTTAGATGGTACAGCGACTCCTCCAGAAACTGAACCGGAGCCAGAGAAACCAGCCCCACCAGTCATCAAGACGTAAGTCATTGATGCAACTAGATGTTTGGATAAAAGCACTGTGAAAATACAACTGGAATGTTGTTGGCAGTATTATACAACAAACAGTCGAGAATGGGGTACGTCTATCATACTCCCCATGAACATCCGAGTTGCCTTTGGTTTTCAGCAACCCATGCTTGTCGTAAGACTGACAGGACAGGGTGGTCAGGCTCGCTGACATGGTTAATGCATCAATTGTGTAGATCAATGCTCATGACACATCAATTGTGTAGATCGATGCTCATGTCAATCACTGGATTGTCGGGTACCGTCCCTTATTTACAGGCCGACTTCAGCATTTAACAACAATCAGCACCAATAACTGCCTGCCCGTGGCTGGTATATTTTCTGTCTCTGATAATTTTAAGACTACTTACATATTCAGTTTTCTGTGCTCTGATAAACTGTGCGGTGATCAGGAAAAGATGCTTGTATCATGTGTATTGATGCCAAAGGATGTCATGGCCTACATGGTCAAATATGTCTGGTTGTCCGTGTGTTAATGTTTGTTTCAGTTTAACGAATGATTTCCTTTTGTTCCAGTAAACCTGCCCAGATTAAGGCACAAGAATGCACAAGTCCAGGTCAGTTGTTTGGGTTTGAGAATCCTTGATTACCACGTTTACAGTTTGTTAGAGATTTGGTTCTGGGATCCATTTACGTTATGATTACTGGAATATGAATATATCTTCATCAAAAGACGATAATGTTTAAAAAATATTATGATTCTTCTGATACCCTACCTAAATCATTACACTATAAAAATATTCAGATTTTTCAACAGAAGTCAACTGGCCATGACTAGTTGTGCACGTCATCATCAAAAGACTGTACTGTTTCATAAATATTATTCTAGCATGTTTAAAAGAGAAAAGGGAAGACACTGATTGCTTGAGAGCTTGAGAATGTCAACTATTAACAAATTTGATGCACAAAATTTTAGATGTCTCAATAAAATAGTTGAAGCAATGGGGTAGCTTTGTGGTTGAAGATTTTGCTTGTCAAATTGAAGGCTTGTGTTCGATCCCCCGCATGAGTACAATGTGTGAAGTCCATTTCTTGTGCCCCAAACATGATGCTCACTTTCTTAAAAAAAATTAACAAGTAATGTTCCTTTTGCAGCTATAACTCCACCAGCCACGCCACCGCCGGAGGTGCTAGCCAGAATCCGGGCCAAGAGGAAACGGAAATTAGCTATCATGCTACCGACCCTTCTGCCAGTCAAGCTTAAGGGGCAGTCGCCTGGTAAAACTCCAAATGGAGGCTCACAGGCTGAACTGAACAATAACACTACTACCTCCGAGACAATTTCAAGTATACCATCAGGTTCGACTTCATTGAAACCTGATGTTAACAGTGACTACTTTGAACATATATTTGATCATGACTACTGTGTGAACTCTCCGATTATGTCTCCGAAACGAGACAAAGTTGACCAAGACAAGTCGGACTCCCAGTCGAGTGGCTACATCTCCCCGGACATTCTAGTGAATGTAGATGAACACGTGAATGAAGTGATCATTGATGCTGGGGACACTGGCGAATTGAACAGCAATGTAGTCGGGAGTCAATCAGTGGACTTGGAGGATGGTGAAGTGGTCGAAGACCCAGCAGTCACCCCGACAGAACTTAAAAAATCATCAGACTCTAGAATAAAAAAGAGACAAACAGTGTCCAAAACGAGTATCAGATCAAGAAGAAATTATAGAAAACGTGGGAGCCCTGGTCGTGACACTGATCGTTACTTTGACAAAATTCCTGCATATTTCACAACGTTATCCAAGCCAGTCAAACCACCAAAGAAGGATAAGCAGCCAGAGCAACAGAGTGGTATACGAAGGGAGGACTTCATAGCTAGGGACTCGTCGCCGTCTAGAAACGAACCTGGTGTGTTTGACAAGCTTCCTGCTTATTACAGTTGTTTTACAAACAGTACTCGATATGACCAGGGCGAGCATGAGACTTATGACTTGGAGGACTTGGATGCTTACCCATGTGCCAAGAAACCCAGGAAACAGAGCTCATCTGTGTCACGTTCTAGGTCAAGGTCATATTCTAGATCCAGGTCAAGGTCATATTCAAGGTCTAGGTCTAGGTCAAGGTCATATTCAAGATCAAGGTCAAGACATCGTTCTTGTCGCCGAAGGCGTTCATACTCATCAGCATCTGGGTCCTCGAGTAGTTCAAGCAGGTATTGGCTATTTTTCAAATCCAGTGAATCCATTTGGTTGAGATGTAACCATGGTAACTTATATTTCGTAAAAATAACAAAACATTGACAATTTTGTTCATTTTCTTTTCTAAAATAGAATGTTGTTTGAACATATGAATAAAGAATGTTTTCTGACTTAATTTATTATTTTCACAGGTCACGGTCACGGTCCAGGTCCAGGTCAAAGTCATATTCACGTTCTAGGTCCAGGTCCAGGTCCAGGTCTCATTCTCCTTCTAGTTCCAGGTCAAGACCAAGGTCACATTCTTCTTATCGATCATACAGGTCTCGTTCAAGATCTAGGGGTCGTTCCCGCTCAAGGTCTCGTGGCCGAAATAGCAGCTGGGCAAGGTAATTTGAATTGAGAGATGGATATCATTTTGAGTCATTCTGGTAAACAAGAAATAAAACGCTGTCAATATCTCCCATTAATTTGTGCTGTTTGATAATGTATCTGGTTGACCTTGAAGCACGGAGGAGTACATATCCTGCACTGCTCGTCTTGCAGGTCCCGTTCACGGTCAAGGTCGTTTGAAAGAAGGCGTTTGGCACGTCAGAGCAAGAGGGAAGAAGAGAAAAATAAGCAGATTGTAAGTGTTGTTGTGATGAAAAATTGATAGGAATTTGTTGTCAATAAGACTTCACCCTGGTTGACTGCCTGTGGGGAGTCTGCGTTAGTATTGGTCCCCAGCAACCTATGCTGGTCGTAAGTGGGGACCAATTGGTGGTCAGGCTCAGTGACGATACTGGTAGTTTGTCCGTGTACTCACAACTGCGTGGATCGTTGCTCTCTATATCGATCACTGGATTGTCTGGTCTACAGTCATTTATTTACAGGCTGTCGTCATGTAGCTGGAATATTGCTGAGTGGTGTCATCGGTCCAGTGGGTGGGCCAAACTACATCACAGAATGCCTGGAAATTCACTTTTGCCTGCAGCCACTCGTGTCTGAGAAAGTTTTCATGTCTAAATACTTTAGGCTGAAACAAATAATAGTCTTGGTTCTCAGGCACTGCCCACATCATCAAAAAGTTTTTTGCACATTTCGTTTTTATTTCGATTTCCAATTTTTTTTGTACATTGTAGTTTAAGTATTAGGATTTTTATATTTTTTTTGAAATGGAAATAAAAACAAAACATGTAGCAGACTTTATGATGATGCGGGTGGTGCCAGAGAACCAAGACTATTATTTTTATTAGCCTTATATCTTGTGCTCAGTGAAAAGATTATTTTGGCAGACAGTCAGTTCATGGCCAACATTGGAGTTTATGAAGTACCTTTTTGACATGTTTCAAGACCCATAGTGTGGCAGAAATGACAAGTGTGTATTTGAAGCCCTATGTTATCTGTGCAGGAGGAGAGGCGGATTGTGTACGTGGGGAAGATACCCGAAGGCTACACACGGAGGGAACTGAGGAAGAGGTTTGGGAGGTTCGGAGATATTGAGGACGTCAGTGTCCACTTCAGGGAATATGGGTAAGTGTATGGTCTATATTTGCAAACATCAGGTTTAATTCGAATTCCAGAATGGTCCTGAAACATCTTAGACCTCCATTTCTTTCTATTTTTTTCTTAAAGCTGAAATGACAAGATATTACTTGAGGTTTTGTTCAAAGACTGTAAACCCAAGATAAAGGCTAGCTCAACAAACAGTGTTGTGACGATTGCCATAGGTGTTTTTGTTTAGTTGAAGTGGGGGCAACTGCCTGTTAAAATGCTGATGTGTCATAAAACAGTTTTTTAATTTTAGTTATGTTTTGATTTTATGAGAATCAATTACATGCCTTTGTAGATAAGACTGTGCATCCATATGTTGTGGATGACTGTCAGAAATTTGGAATGTCTTATTTTCTCATGATGTGTTGGACCCGTGAAGGTCCAGAGTAGAATAGGTCTTCAGCAACCCATGCTTGTCGTAAATGGCAACTATGCTGCTAAGAAGCGACTAACAGGATCAGGTGGTCAGGCTCGCTGACTTGGTTGATGCATGTCATTAGTCCCGATTGCATGGATCGATGCTCATGATGTCAGTCACTGGATTGTCTAGTCCTGACTTGATTATTTATAGACCACCATCATATAGCTGGAATATTGCAGAGTGCGGCGTAAACGACAAACAAACAAAAACTATGAATGTGTTGTAGGTTTATGCCCTTGTATCGTGTATTGATCCCCAGTCACACGTAACTGTTGTTAGACAACACTATCCATGCTTCAGGCACATTTTGTTGACCCACTGTAATTCCTGTTTTCAGTGACAATTACGGGTTTGTGACCTTCAACTACACGTGTGATGCCTACGCTGCAATAGAACGTACGTTGTTAAAGATTTGGGTTTGAAGTAGTTGTCATTATCATTGATTATTTGTGTAAGATGTCTTAAAAAAAATTCACAAACAATGGTTAAGGATATTTGTGTTGGAGTAGCCTGGTTGAACCTTAAGGTGCGGGTTTGATTTGTCATATGGGTACAATGATTTGGTGCCATCTGCAAGTTGTGGCAGCATAGTGGTCTGGGGCACATGGCACTGTTGTGAATTACCTCCCTTAGCTGTGATCTGCTAAACATGAGTTTGAATCCCAGATTCATCCTGATTGACAGGATTCTGGTTTTTCAGGTCCAACTTATGTAAATTTCAGCACACACAAGACACTGTTATATTTGTAGTCAATATGAGAATAAGTAGTTTTTAAACTGGCAATTTTGTGGCTGGTATTGTTATCTGGCATATTTCCAGGGCTACCTATCATTCACTGAACTTGTCAGGTTCTGACTGATGCTTGTTTGTGTTGCAGAAGGCAATCTCATTCCTGGAGAGAAGTCCTTCGACTTGTGTTTTGGTGGGAGGCGCCAGTTCTGTGATACAGACTATGCTGACTTAGGTAAATATGTCATCAAATGTTGCCTTGCTGAGTATCGGGGGCAGGAGGTGTAGACCAGTGGGTCAAGTGTCTCGTCACACCGATGACTCAGGTTCAATTCCCCACATTGGCAATAGGGATGAAGCCCATTTCTGGTGTCCACTGCTGTTATATTGATGGAAGATTGATAAAAACGTTGTAATGCCATACTTACTCACATACATTTTTGCATGCCCGTAAAGATCCAGGTTAGAATAGGTCTTCAGCAACCCATGCATGTCGTAAAAGGCAACTGACAGTATCGGGTGGTCAGGCTTGCTGATTTGGCTGATGCATGTCATCGTATCCAAATTACGCTGAACGATGCTTGTGTTATCAATCCCTGGATTGTCTGGTCCAGACTTGATTATTTACAGACCGTCATATAGCTGTTGCATTTAACTACAAACAAACATCATTGTTCAGTATGTGAACAGTCAGTGAAAAGTAAATGAAAAGTAAATGAAAAGTAAATGAAAAGCCAAGCATATCCACAGTTCAACAGATTTTGAGTGTTCTCTACATGTCATATGGTATGTGTGGAATGGTATGGAGTTGTTCGAGCTGATGCAGTGTTGAATGTATTCCAGATGGCAATGCAGAAGCGGTCGAGGAGTTTGCCCCCTTGCCCAGCGAAGGGCCGCTGGACTTTGATCAGCTGCTGAAACAAGCTCAGTCCAAAATTAAAAGGAAGAGGTGATGACCGAGGCCTGTGTGCTGTGATGGAAGAATGTGTGATGACGTGCTGTGCTAGGACACTGCCTTTCTGTGATTTCAACTTGGATATTTTGAGTCCCTTCATTTGTGAAGCCGCAAATACTCGGAAGTTAAGCCATTTTGGACGCCCAGTGTAAATGCTGCTGACACTTTAGAGCCTTGTTTTGTGTTCCCTGAACATAGTGAAAACAAAACACATTAGAAATAAAATATTCTTTTTGACATGTACAAAACCAGTTAAGAGAGGCATTATATTTGAATGATTATGTAGAGATTTTGCCAATGGAATTTATTAATATTTTGTGGAATATTTTCCCTTCGTTGATTCATGCTGCTGAGGCAGCCAATCAGGTTGACTTTTGGACATGACGTAAGGATTTGTAAGCTATAATATAGTTTCAAATTACAGTTTGGTTTATTATGCACTTGTTGGAATTTTTCATGTCTTTCATTTGAAGTTTGTATGATATGTTTGGGTGGTGAAAGTCTATAAGAATTGTTTTTGTACGTGTTTGTTATCGGGTGAAATGCGTGAGATCCTTTTTGAAGTTTGATTATTTGTTTACTGTTTATTTGCATGGTTGATAGACATGTTTGGAAGAACATGAGTCTCTGAAATTTGGGATGGCTCTCATTTGAAAGCAAAGAATCCTTTTTTCAAAATGTATTGAATGAAATTAAGACTTAAATGTGTTATTCTTAGTTTTAGAAATGTTTCACATTTTAAGGTTGTCATCTTGAGTGACAAATATTGTGATTATCTAGGGAACTACTTGAAGTAACAATAGGTGGTCACCAATTTGACAATAACATGCAGTAGTTGAGGTGTGTAGAGAATGATGAAGAGCTGATTTGTAGAGTTGTAGGCCTGTTGGAATGGTTATGTGCTAGATGAACATCATGTTTGGAATTATCTTGCAGTTATTTTTGTTGATTTATTTTGTAAATTAAGTTCTTCAAATCTTCAAATTTTATGTTTGAACTGGTTTTGATTTATCATAATTTGCTTTTAGTTTGAGGAAAGAAAATAACTTTGCTGTAAGAGGATTAGCACTATTATCCTTATCTTCACTGAGCGCTCTAAGACTTTGCTTCTTGTAATTAGAAATGATACTAACATTTTCGGTATGCCATAATATTGCCCTTGCATAGGGCCTCGCAGTCTAATGGATGTCTGCATGAAGAGCAAAAGATAATATAAAAAAAGAAAGATGGTACTTGTTGTTACCCTGGCTGGCGCTTGCCAATAAAGGGATAAAACCAGGCCTGGTCGGCTCGGAGTCAATATATTGTGTCTGAGTGGAGTATCCATGTTATACTGTGGCATGGTATCTCAGTGGGCTGGCACTATAAAATCACTGGTACAAGAAGCCACACATACACAACCATGCACGTCGCTATGTAAGTGGAATAATCGTTAAACCCCATTTCCCCTCGCCTCATACAGGACAGAGGACCCTAGGACCTAATGCTTGTCACTGTTGTATTGCCAGAGATCTCACTTCCCTGTGCATGATCCTGAAGGTGACCTCTGAGTTTAAACACACCCAGGTAGTTCATGCTGTCTATCAAACAATGGTTTGTCTGGTCCAAAATCTGTTATTTCCGTTGATGACCAGCTGAAATATTGCTGTATATGGGCTAAAATTTCTCACTCTACATATTGTTTGTGCTACATTGTTGGTGCTAGAGTCTGACGCTGCTACATGTCAAATAGGATTTGAATGTAGTCCATATATTTGTATGAAGGTCGCTTATGTACACGTGGCAGTTAACTAATGGTATTTAAAGAATGTACTGGATCATGCTTGCTTGTAGGTGTGTATGGTACTATGGATGTAACATGTCTATTTTGTACTCGGTATTTATTGGGAACACTTGTTTCATTGGGATCTCAGCATAATTTGCTATAGTTTCAAGAAGTTGGAGTATCCGGGTAAGAATACGTCTTCAGCAACCCATGCTTGCTATAACTGTAAGAGGCGACTAACGAGATCGGGTGATCAGGCTCCCTGACTTGGTTGATGCATGTAGATCGATGCTCATGACATCAGACTCTGGGTTGCCTGGTCCAGACTCGAATATTTACAAACCTCGGTCATATAGCTGGAATATTGCTGAGTGCTGCATTAAAAAAAACAACTTAGTAAGGATAAGACATATGGATGAATAACTTCTTTATTACAATTAGGAGCAACGTTTCAATGTAGGTTCTAACATTGTTATCAAGCAAGTGAAGTGTTAGAACCTACATGGAATTGTCGCTCCTAGATGTAATGAAGTTGATCATCCATATATATCTTATCCTCAGTTCCGGCAATGTGTTTGTGTGGTGGGGAATATCATGAACACATTTAGGTGTATTCAGACATTTAGATTCGCACACTGTAGCTTTGGCTTGTGTATTACCATGGTAACCATGCTCTCATACCTGGATTATTTCTCATGGCATGAGTGATGAGGAAACTGGATGAGATGTGTGAAGTCCACAATGTTTGTCCTTGTGACCTGTAACAGAGTTCAGTTACACCATAATTCATGGTACAACTTTACTGAAATACCAATTTGAGGTTTAAGTCCTTTGTGAAGAATTTTATTTGTAGCAAAAGTCAGTGCTATTTATAATGTTAAACTCAAGATATGCACAGGACAGCTTCAGGCTATTTTGAATTTCCTGTGCTTCCTTATTCCCAGACAAAAATTCACGTGGTCAGATTTAATCACTGACCAGCGGTCAACATCAAACAATCCGATGCAGTATTTTGAAGCATAAATGCACAATGTAATCAGGTTGCACTTGTTCCCAGTGGGAGTCCTCGTGTAATTGGGCAGTGTATTATGTTTATTTTGATAAATAAAATTATTGCTGTACGTTGAGTTTGTATCATTTAATGACATAATGGAGTTAAGTTTTCAGGTTTGATACCCGAGGTAGATTTGATCCACTTTGATCTGCTTCAGTCCAGCAATAAATGGTTATCCTGAATAGACTCTGTGCTCTCTTCACACAGATTAGGACCCGTGAAGAACCGTGTTTGAATAGGTCTTCAGCAACCCATGCCTGCTGTAAAAGGCGACTATGCTTGACGTAAGAGGCAACTAACGGGATCGGGTGGTCAGGCTCGCTGACTTGGTTGATGCATGTCGTCGTATCCCATTTGCCTGGATCGATGTTCATGATGTCCCATTTCTGGTGTCCCACGCCATGATATTGCCAGGATATTGCTAAAAGTGGCGTAATACCATACTCACTCACTCATGTGATCCCTGGTCATGTCATTCAATGGAGCCCTGTGAAGATCCCAGAAGAGAATAGGTCTTCAGCAACCAATGCTTGCCATAAAAGGCGACTAACGGGATCAGGTGGTCAGACTCGCTGACTTGGTTGATGCATGTCATCGATCCCAATTGCGTGGATCGATGTTCATGATATCAATCACTGGACTGTCTGGTCCAGACTCGATTATTTACAGACCGCCGTCATATAGCTGAAATATTGCTGAGTGTGGCGTTAAACAAACCAACCAACCAATCACACAGATTAGCAGAATAGGTCACCAGCACCTCATGCTCTTTGATGAATGATGAATCTTGGAGGTCATCTGCCAGACTGTAACAATTATGTTAAACTCCACTTTTGATTGGGATATTATCTCTCTCCATGATACACAAACTGATTCTCATATTGTCAAGTGTATATTTATATGTATATCTGACCTTGCTGTTTATCCCTGTCAAATCTGGGGTGGTCGGGTAGCCTAGTGGTTAAAGCGTTCGCTCATCACGCCGAAGACCAGGGTTCGATTCCCGACATGGGTACAATGTGTGAAGCCCATTTTTGGTGTCCCCTGCCGTGATATTGCTGGAATATTGCTAAAAGCGGCGGAAAACCAAACTCACTCACTCACTCACTCACCCTGTCAAATCTGTACTCCTTATAAGCATGTACCAAATTGAGCTGTGGCATTGACTTGCCTGCTCCAGACTATTATTTACAGGCCATTCTGGATATCCCTGTGTAGTTTATCTCCATTCTGTTACCAATACCTTGGACCCACTTGCCACTATAGCTGCTTTCAGAATGACCAGTCTCAACCACTCATTTCATGGACTGCATAGAAATTCTCTCGCTCATTGGTGTTATTTGATTGGATGACTGATCGTATCAGATTCAAAACGACGCTGTGGTGACCATGTGGTTTAACTTTGCACCATAACAGATTGGAAATATAATTCTGGATTATCAAGGATGAGTGTTGCCATGATATGGCAGGAATATTGTCTAACTGATGCCTTCGTCAACATTCACTCCTCCAGTCTAAAATGGAAATTGAAAACAGGGTCACGGACAGGCCTGCACTGCTTGATTGGGGTTGGGTGGCAATATTCCCTGACATGGTCATGTTTACTTCAGCGAATAATAGACACGCCAGAAATAAGTTTATTCGTACAGCGAGGGTGTTGTGTTCTGGTTGAGATTGTTTACAAACATAAAGGACATAAAAGCTCATTCACTGTTGACCTGGATCTGCTTCAGGCAAGAGGTATCATAAAGCAAACACCCAGCTTGGCAGTAGGAGGCGTTTCTTCATTCCGAGGAGGGTAAAAGGTCTTTGATCGGATAGGTCAATGTATTGTCACAGTTGGTGTACTTATAGGATAGGCGAGATTCATGTACTGCTACAAGTGCCTGTGTTTATAGTTATAGAATTCGCGTGTGCCCTCGATCACCCATAATAACGCGTAAACAGTTTTTACAGGGGTTATTCATGGTAAATCATTGTATCTCGGTGGGCTACCACGAAAACTTGTACAAGCAGCCACGGCGATATACATGCTCTATAAGTTTTAGCGTTTTGAACGCGACGTTCAACCCCATTATCATACCTCCATGTCAGATTGATGAAATCTGATTGGTCTACGTGATCTTGATAAATAGCATGTATCCCGCCATGGAGGGAATATACGTTTCTCAGCGGGTGAATAAATACCTTATAACCCACCACAAGCAAGTCAGGCTGCACATTGATTTTCTTTTACCCCTCTTCGATGCTTTTTCAGAGTCAATGAAAGTTACCTGAGATTGCACAAGTTTCCTTCAGCTCAATCGAACAGCTGTTTTCTATCAATTTTGAATTTGTTTTATTCTTTTACAATGTCATGTTAAAACATGTCGGTAAGATTTATTCGTTGTAGCAGGATCACTGGGTGTACATGGAGTTTTATGCACCCCTCGTTAGGTTTTATACCACTTGCCTCTTTGTGGGTGAATAACATACTATATTTAACCCTGGTCGACAATGTCCACTTGCTGATGGAGCCACAGGAGTCCGTATCTAAAAATAGACGCCCTCATGCATATTCATGACCATCTCCACACGCGATCCCGAAGGAGATGGTCATGAATATGCATGAGGGCGTCTATTTTTAGATACGGACTCCTGTGATGGAGCTTACTGATAGAGCTTGCTGAAGGAGCTTACTGATGGAGCACTGCTCCGCTCACATTGCCTTTTCATCAGCGTCAAGGGGCAGCTACAGGTTACACAGCTATTATCACATACTTTATTAACCTTTTGTGACGTGTTGATCATGATACCCCTGGCATTCGGAAGGAAATGCCCCAGCTATAACTGAAATGTGAGACCAAGGTTTTGCAGTTGAATTTTATTAACTGGCATTTTGATATACATGCCATGTTGATTTTTTATCGGTTAAAGTTTCACATGAAAATGCCATGACCTGAATCGATACTGTAACCTCACATATCGTGTTTAGTTGTGTAACTCACCGTTTCTCGCCGTTTTTTCTGTTATTTCTTGCATTAGGACGGGTTATAAGTTGGATGTAAACCCCCTCCTCCTCGGTTTTAATCCTTTAAGTGCAGGGTGGCACATGTGGCCGTAAATCGTTGCGTCGCTTAGAAGTGCTGAGAACAGGACCGTGGGTTTGAATCCAGACTTCGTCCTCGTTATGTTTGTTGGTTTGTCAGCACCATGCCTGTTGGTTTCACGAAAGTGGTAAATGTCTGAGAGTTGCATCACAGTTGTCCACACCGTGTCACAACTGCAATACTTGTCAAGGGGGTGGAAAACCCAACTCACTCACTCAAATAACACCCGTGAAGATCCGGGTTAGAAATGGTCTTCAGCAACCCAAGGCGACTGTGCTTGTTAGAGGCGACTAACGGAATCGGGTGGTCAGGCTCCCTTACTTGGTTGATGCATGTCATCATATCCCAATTGCGTAGATCGATGCTCATGATGTCATTCACTGGATTGACTGGTCCAGACTCGATTATTTACAGACCCCCGTCATATTGTTGGAATATTAACGAGTGCGGCGATAAACAACAAACAAACAAACCAAACTAAATTGTGTTCGTTGATCACAGTGGATTTCACAAAAGGGCCAAATGGCTACAATCCGCGCCATTATCAATCACTCCGTACAGTAAACTACGGTTATAACGAACACGCTTATAACGAACTGACGGATATAACGAACTTACTTTTTGGTCCCGAATATATGCTGTAGTTATGCTGTATATATGTTTATAACGAACTACGGTTATAACGAACTAAAATTAGTGGTCCCTTTGAGTTCGTTATAACCGTAGTTTACTGTATTTGGAAAATGGACCCCGCGATGTCACTTTAATATGGTAAGCGGCGTTAAAACCATAATACTCAATCACTAATTTACGCACAGAAAAATCAAACAAATGATCTGCCAAAGCACACCCTGTACACCTTGGGGACTGGCATTGTAAGACAAGGGATGGGTATTCTGACGTACTCCTCTCTCGTCATGCACGTCACGCTACGTCCGACAATACATCATTCAAAACAAGCAATACACCTAACTCATATCCACAACCAGTTTCTCGTTTATTGGTGTTACGGAATATTTTTACAAAGCCAGAATTCCGATCAAATGAATACATTAATAAAATTCGAAAGGCGTGTTTTTTCTTTAAAGTATTGTCGGTCGGAATCATGTGAACATGAAAGAAAACTGTTACTTTGAAATTATTTTGTTGAAATACTCGGCGGTTTAAAAACGCATACTTAATATGTAATATATTTGGTCGGCGGATACATACACACAATTAATATACACGTCTTTTCTACCTGAAACTTACAAACTCGTCCATAAAAATACCCAGACAAATATAACTGGAGTCAGAAAAGGGTACCACTGTGTCAAACTTGATGTTTGGTTGCCTTAACTACAGTCATAGTGAAAAACGAATGTTCAGAAAGTTATCCTAAAAAAATGAAATGGTTCAAATATGAAAAAATTAATGTTTTGATTTTTCAATACATGGGATTTTTAACATGATGAACTTTTACAATAGTTACTGATAACATGTATATTTTGAATCACATGTTGGCGATATTTTGAATGTTTAAATGTTTATCTGACGTTTTCTATTAATGACCGAGCAGATGTCAGTATTCTGTCGACCTGTCACTCAAACCATGTCGCAGCTGTGTGTTTCGAGGACATTAAGTGTGATTGATTGGACATGAACACGTGAAAGGGCGGCGAATGGGAACAAATACGATTGAGAATTCGCATTTAATACGTTTTAGGCAACCAAGATAATGGAACGTTAATCCTAGAATGAATGAATGTTGTTTAATGCCGCATTCGGCAATATTTCATCTGGTTCGCAGCGGCCTGAAATTAATTGTTAATTTTAAACATGTATTTCAGAAGAGCGCGTTCCACAAGGTTACACCCTTGTTCCGTTACGTTTAATAGCCAGTGTGTATACAATGTTTAGCTTCAAAATGCGTTGGGATTCTGGAAATATTTCGAATTTAGAAAATATCAATATCGGGGCCAATCCAAAGTAAAAAAAAAAGTGTGTATTTACTAAGAAACTAGGTTGAAGGTGTTATTTAACATTGAAATGAATTTAGATGTAATAGCACTAATTAATTTGATTTGAAAGCAGCTTGGATTTGGATAATTTACATATGGAAGCAGCTAGGACAGTTATTAGTTTGGGTTAAAGCTATACATTTGGACAAATATTGATATAACGCATGTTTACCATTTCTTTGTTGTTTAACGCCACACTCAGCAAAATTCCAGCTATATGACGGCGGTCTGTAAATAATCGAATCTGGACCAGACAATCCAGTGATTGACATCATGAGCATCGATCCATGCTATTGGGAAACGATGACATGCTTCAATCAAGTCATCGAGTCTGACCACCCGATCCCGTTAGTCCCCTCTGATAATATACGACAATCATGGGTTGCTGAAGGCCTATTCTTTTACGGGTGACAGGTACACTGAGCACACAACATTACATTTTTATCTGTCCCGCAAGTTTGGATAACGATGCCAGAGATTCACTCTGCTTATTATTATATTAGGTCGGTCGGGTGGCCTAGTGGTTAAAACGTTCGCTCGTCACGCCGAAGACCCGGGTTCGATTCCCGACATGGGTACAATATGTGAAGCCCATATCTGGTGTCCCCCGCCGTGATATTGCTGGAATATTGCTAAAAGCGGCGTAAAACCAGACTCACTCACTATTATTACGTTAAACTTAGTTTGTATGATAAACACCGAATCTTCGCTTTTAAGACCTGTAGAAGATTAGGAGCGGCAGGGTAGCCCTGTGGTTATATCGTTTGCTCGTCACTCCTAACGTATGTTTTCGATTCCCCACATGTGTGAATACATGAGAAATAATAAACAAACCATATGCATAATTTTGCAGTTACATTATGATCAATTATTGTTGTGTCACCCGGAGTCATATTGCTGGAATATTGCTGACGTCGGCATAAGGCTCGATACACTCACTCACTCACTCACTCACTCACTCACTCACTCACTCACTACCTTTTAATTACGTATATCGTGTAAAATACATGCTATTACATGGTAGTGCAGTATACGAAAATAGCAGAAATGCTTGAAAAAATACTGAAAGAACAAAAATACAAAGTTTCTCTCACTGTTTGTGTTAAAAACAATCATTTCCGGTAATGGCGACGCAGGTCTACCATGTGTTAACTGTTAACCACTCCACTTTCTCATAAAATAACATGCATATAAATGAATATTTCATCACCATTCAAGGATCTATGTATCTGAGAAATGGTATATTTAAGGCAGAAAACTTTATCCTTGGGCGTATTGTGATATCTGAATGTTTTATGTACAACTGTGTTATCAAACGTCTCATCGCAAACCTTGAGGCGTCCCGAGACGCATAGTTTCCTAACACACCTTGTCGGGATCATAGGCATAGATGTAACACCGGGTGGTCATTATGGCTGCCTGGGAGGTCATCAACATGGACAAGTTATTGAGAAGGATCATATTTTATTTTCAGTTCTCTTCATCCCACTTCCCCTACAATACACGACCAGTCCACGATGATCAATAAGGTACGCTTGGCCAGTACCAATACACCTTAAACGCCCTGCATCATGTCGGGCTTTCTTAATCCATGATACCCTTTACATAAGGCCAGACCTTTTAGAGGGGTAGGTCGTTTCTAAGAATAATAATAAAATTTATTTTATTTCCTCTCGCAATTCGTCATAATTCCTTGTTTTTAAGTTTCTAAGATAAATTTTGAGTAAGTTTTAATCATTGTATTCTAAATTGTTTATTTCTTTTCATAAAATGATTTAATTTACGTTTTACTAATTTCTGGTCGGAAGAATAAAAAAAGCACTGCTTTTCATTATGATGTTTTCACATTTCAAGATTTTGGGTAATCTGCGAAGTTTTTGAAAAAGCCCTGGCCTTACTTAAATACTGTTCAAAGCGGCGTGAAACCAAACTTCCACACAACAGGGCACGTGACTATGTTTGTTGTCTTGTGAGATACTCCTGCATGAAGATCACAACAAGACTGGTTACCGTTGCCAAGAAGATCGTCGCGCAGATGGCGCCTATGATATAAAGAACCGTTGCCCGTCTCCCATACACTCGAGACCTTTCCTTGGACCCGTAGTCGTATTCCTTGTCCGATATCTGCATGTAGCACACGGCTGGAACACAGCACAGGAAGCAGAAGAACAGATAACAAGGACATTGCAGTGCACTGTGGAACCTCTGGTTGATTCTGTTGTAAGGATTCGGCGTCAGCCATCTCTTCTCCGTTTCATCGCTGGCGGCAATCTGTGCAGGTTTCTCCTCCTCTATGTCCACTGTCGCCACCGTTGTTGTGGCCGGCGATGGGGGGTTTGTGATGGACTCGTTACCTTCTGGGATTGTATTCCTGCGAAGGTAGTTTTCTAGACGAGCTGGATGACTCATGTATCGAGTGGTTCTTCCCAGTAACATTGGCGCGCTGGACACGGAACATCCGCTCCAGCTTCTCTGCTGGCTTCTCTCTCGTCTGAGGCTTCTCTGTGAGACGGCAACAGATCCTGTGCCGTCAGGGGAGGTAACTGGGTTGGTGCCGGTCATGTCTTCCCACTCCTCGCCGATAGCAAGGGAGAGTTGTCTTATCTTGGGTTTTCCTGCTGAGATAGGTTGAGCTCCTTCTGAGAGAGCCGACGAGTTCCTTTTGACTCGGTGGGCGTATGGCGATGACGGTTCCCAACCTTCCAAGAAAGATGTGTTGAATATGGCGCCCTCTGATCGATGTCGTGTAACCGTCACATCCGAGCCATGCTGGCCAAGCTCAGCCATTTCAATCGATACCTGTTCTGACCTTGATTCTTCTGTTTTCCTGAATCCATCAGAAAAGCTTCTGGAATAGATAGTCCTGGGATCAGTACTTAGGGAACTAAACACTCGCCGAGCGAGGCCTTCACTCCCATCTGGATCCTCCCTAACCAGAACATCAGGGTCTACATGGATGTGTTCGTCGATGGGAAGGTCATCCCCATGATGTAGATACCGTGTGTCACCCACAGACTGATCTGTACCAACTCTGAGACCATGTGTACCATCCTCAAACACTTCATCAGGGCACCCATCGTCTTGGTCTGTAGGTACAGCAGTTGCAAGAACTTTCAATGGCATCTCGGCTATGGAGTGTCGGTCAAAGGGGCGCGGGGAGTCAGTTTTATCTCTGGAAGGATCCCTTGTAGCTAAAGACTCTGACGCATCTTGACTCACAACCCAGGACTTGACTCTGTCCATCACAGACTGGTGTTCACTTAGGTCACCATCTCCCACAACATTTGCCCGTTCCGGCCCATCGTTTTCATCATATTCCACAACGCCGGGTGCTAAGACACCTGCATAGCCTTTACACACCAATAAGGCATCCTTCATGCTCTGTGTGGGATATTCAAATTTAGCATGGTGTTTTCTATGTTCTTTCGGAGTTCGATCCATAATGTCCTTGGTTTGTGTGTCCCTGTGTGCCTCAGTTCTCTTTAAGCCAGGCACAGCCTTATCTGTCCTGTCTGTTTCACCTGCCGTTCCACTGATAACTCGGTTGTCGGTTGATGACATGTTCAGCGTATGAGCTCTCGAAGTGAGGAATCCCCGGCAGTTCTCATTTGAGCTGAGGTCAGCTTCCCTGTTGCCAGAAGCTGGCCTGTTATGTGTTCTTGTGGTGTCATGATGTTGTGACACGGTGCTGTGTTTCACTTTTACAGCACCTCCTGGAAATGGTATAGCTTTCCCATTGTAATGCTCGATACGTCCATCTTTCCTTCGTCTTACCTCAGTCAGAACCCTACTCTGCGTAGTCTCATCATCTGTGCCCAAACTGTCATCTGTTTTGCCCATCTCACGAACATAGTCTCGCTGTCCTGAACGTATTTCATCAGCCGGTGGAGTGCGAAGAATTTCATTGTTATTTCTCTTCGTTAAGTCACCTGTTGATTCATTTTCATAAATTTGGCTTTGGGTAACTTGGCTTTTTTGTGGATGAGGAATATCAACCATGTGCGATGACTGCTTATTCTCCTGTGGCCTCGACGTGATTCCCTCACGATCTAGAAAATAAGGGTTATTCATCACAGCTATAGTGCTTGTTGTCCTCACTCTACCGTTTTCAGTGTTAGGAACAGAATCCTCGAATAATGTGTGAACATGTTGGTACTGTGTTTCGTTAGGTGTTCCTCTAAAACTTCTCACAGTGGTTGTCTCATGATATTGGTTGGAAGGAGCTAACTTGCTATGAGAGTGAGAACAGTCCTCAGCACCTCGGTCTCCCGAGCCTATGCTTTTGGTTGTCGTGTCAGTTCTAGAACTATACAGCTCCTTTGAATCTTCAGAAGGTGAAGTCACAATTCTATTGTCTTTGACATGGAGAATGCCCGACCTTATCTCAACACCGTAGTCTTCCTTTAGTCCTTCTTTACGGGACCTGTTTGTGTTCTCGGCATTAACAGCTATTTGGTCATTAGAAGATTCTGAGTTCCGAGCAATGGTAATGGTCGTCTCAGACACCTGTTCAGGTGATGTAGAGAAATCAACGTCCTGAAATGTACCTGCATTTGCAACATTTACAGGCATTTGGTTATTTCGTCTCCATTTTGTACGAGGGTGAATTTGGGAACTCCTTTCCGGATATAACCTTGACTGTGTGTCCACAACACTGCTCACATACGAACACCCACTTGCAACACTGTTACGCTGAGAAGCAGGTTCAGAAGATGTAGAAGATACTGAGTTCAGAGCAGTGCTTAAGGTCATATCAGACACTTGTTCTGGTGATGTAGAGAAATCAACGTCCTGAAATGTGCCTGTATTTACAACATTGATATATCTAGGTAGTGTGGTGTTCCTTTTTGAACCAGATTTTGTGGATTCAGAAGTCTGGGATTCTGCATTCTGAATGACGCTTGCATTTAAAGCAAGCCCTGGAGAGGTTGCGTTTCTTTCAAACATATCCCCGGATGCTTCTGCAGAAGATGACGTGGTACTATATTGTCTTCTTGTCAGTTGTGAGGCGGAAGGATCTATGTCTCTCTTGTCTGAGGTACTTGAAATGGTGACACGTCCTGATGGGGAAATTGGAAACGAAACATCAATATTTTGGACGTCACGGGGAACAACAACAAAACCTGGCTTTGTTCTTGGATGCATTACCACATTATCCGCTACTCTGATATGTTTATGTTCCAGAAAGCCCATTCCTCTTACATGTGTACCAGATCGATATGGTTGTGTAGCTTCAGTGTGTGGCTGGTCAAACACTTTATCCGTAATGTTTCCTTTATCAGGAGGGAAGCTATGATCTTGATCAGGCTTTGATGTCTTTTGTGAAGACCCATCCGAATGTTGTATGGTCGTCATAGAAACTCCAGCAGCTGCCACAGATGGGGTTGACCCTTCCGACAGCCTTCTCACGCCTATAGCACGGATGATGGTAGGTTTTCTCACGTAAGATACAGGTTGGGAGACCTCTTTCTCTCCTGAAGGTGGAGGAGGTATGGTAGCGCTGGACTCAAGTTTGCCAGGGTCCAGTACTAACCCACTACTAGGCCCATCCATGTTTGTTTGGCTAGCAGAAGGTGTTATAACGTTTATGTCACCAGAAACACGAACTGGACCAGGAATGATGAGACTGGTATCCTTACCCTCTTCTGTATGCATGCTTGGACTTCCTGTCTGAAAATCAACTTGAGTTCCTTTTGAACTTTTAGCATCAATTTCCCCTACAGCGATATGCATGTGATGTTGAATTTCTGTTGCTGATGTTGACTTGACATCTCTTGTTGTTGGAACATGCAACTTCTTCGCTTTTCCTGCACCCTGCTCATAGTCTTTTTCCAGTTTAATGTTGATGAATGTCACTTCTGCCTTGCCTTTCTGTGCATACACAACCGATTCCTTTCTTCTGTACCCTGTTTCACTGTCTTGAAACACTCCATCTACACCTGGTCTGATGGTGGCTCTTTGGGTGGCTTCATCTCCCCCAACAAACGCTGGTCGTGTTAATCTGACGCTTCCGTCATCGACTGCCTGAGCACTCCTTTGACTCCGCAGGGACCCTTCGAAAGCAATGCTGCCGATGGGAGCTAGGATCTCGGAATTTTCTGGGAGATCGTGTTTGTCCATGCTAGAGTTGTCCATGATTTACAGATCTCTGTAACAAAAGGATACATGTATTTGGTAATTGTTTGTAATTCATCTGATCATTTGATTAGGTCTCGTGGAATCATGGTTGACTATTTGGACATACCCGAAGTGTTTGTTTGTTGTTTATCGCCCCACTCGGCAATATTCCAACTATATGACAGAGGTATGTAAATGATCGAGTCATGAGCATCGATCTACGCAATTGGAATACGATGACATGCATCAACCTAGTCAGCGAGGATGACAACGGGATCCCATTAGTCGCCTTTTACGACAAGCATGGTCATCTTTTACGGCAAGCATGGGTTGCTGAAGACCTATTCTTTACCCGGATCTTCACGGGGTCTGGAGCCCGAAGTGATACAGGTCTTAGACGCTTACCAATTGATTTGGGCACATGTATGGTGCTGACAAACCAAGGAATATGATCATAGCGAATCTGGCATTTGATCCACGATCAGAGTTTTCTGACGCGCCAACGCAATTCAGCACAACGACTCTCGCCACCTTAGTCGTAATTGATGTCTCGGTACATAATTCTACTTTGGTCTATTACAGCGACCAGTTTGACGTTGAAAGAAACAGAGTAGTCAGACACACTGCCTGGGTGATTGAATAGGAATTTATGTCAGAATTATCAGCGATTATCCTGGTACTCAATTGTCTGTCTCCTTTGGCAAGACGTATATCACATACCACATGTCACATTTTCAGATATATGTAAGGTGAGGTGAGGTGAGGTGAGGTGGGGTGAGGTGAGGTGAGATGGGATCTAACGTTGCGTTCAAGATTATTCCACTTTATAGCGACGTGCATACACTATACAATAAGAAGGGCGGTACGTTTTGATTAATCTGACTTCTGTGTGACCCAAAAGTGTCGCTATTTTTAGGTGAAAAAATTCATTCTCATGGAATTTCTGAAGCTAAGAATTAACATCAACTGACGAGAACCACCATAGAAAATAAAAAGCATACATGAACATGTTTTAGAACCCAGTTTAATAGTCCAATTTAAACATATGTTACTAAACATTCTTCATGAATTTATTGGATAGCTTAAACGTGTGTATGTCATATAATGTATGTGTCACGGGTGACAAAAATGAAAAAGTAGTATAAAACAATGATATTGATACTACAATTTAAAAAATCTACATGGATGACTGCATTCGAGGTATTTCGCTTTCAGTCTAAATTTTAGATGGTAAAACGAAGATTTGGATTGACATACAGCTGACAAATATCATAACAAATTATGGAAAAGATAAATCATACCTTTTGTCCCGGTACTTTGCGATCAGTCTTGGACACTGTCCGTATAAAGCAGGTTTGACGTGGTGAGAAGAGATATAAACATATTCCCCTGTCAACTATCTACCGCATCTGTGAGACAGACGGTACAGCCTCCAGCTCGAGACAGCTATTAAGGAGATGGATCTGTGTGTTACTGACACACCACCTGTGTGGTACTCACACATCACACACAGGGAAGGTGGTGTATAACTGTATTATCTCCATACGAGACAAACTGCTTTATTGTTCATAACTTTCATTTTGATGTTAATGTTGTATTTTAATAATTAGAAGGTAAGAGAATGTAATTTTATGGGTGTAAGGTATGTGTTCTGCGTTTTATTACCACCGTGTCACTTCTTATATAATATATGAACCATTTAGCTTCCATGGAATCACGACCTTGTATGATGACAGTATGTGTGTGGTATGCATTTGAAGGTAAAGGTGACAGTAGTGGTTGAACATATGGTCTAATTTTTCCCAGTTATTTTGGTAAACATGAAAATATGTTATGCGTCATTCGAATAATTTTGTTTTCACCAGTTATAATTATCCTTTTATCAAAAGCAACATTTCATTTATCCATGAACAATATTGAATCAATGTCAGGCGTATTAATGAATATCGATACATCTATGTGTATGTCCTGACGAGTTTCGTTAAAAAACAAAGAAACTGGGTCAAAACAGTCTCCTTGTATGCCACCTCCCAGAGACGGTGTGTGAATGGCCTATGGAGATTTAGGCGTCAGCCCAACAGTGGCAGATTTATCGTCATCGCACTGTGAAACATGAATATATATAAACAAGCTCTAGGCGTATGTGTATATGGGTGTCTGTGTTATTGTAAGTTGAGCTTCAGCTTTGGCTTCTAACGGTATATCTGTTGTAGATTCATACATATCTTGATCGTGACGTGTTTCACTTCCAATGGTCGATAGGGGTATCGGGTAGCCTCGTGGTTAAGGTATTCGCTCGGCGCGCTAGTGGTCCGGGTTCGAATCCCTATATGGCAAAGTGTGAAGCCCATTTCGTGTTACCCATCGTGATAGTGCTGGAATTCCATACTCACTTACTATTGGCCCACAACTAGGTGTTGAATTTGTTTACAGGGAAATAATTGTCAGATAAGTGATTGTTAGCGATGGACACAAGTAAAATATACTAACGGGTAACTAAGGTGCCGCAATTGATGTGACGAGTTGTGTCCCTTACCCCTGCCTGGATACGTTGGTTGATGGTTCAAATATCTATACAGTCCGGAAATGATCCAAGCAGTGTCAACGCAACGCCCGTGCTTGATTCCGGACCAGCATCATTTCGGGCTCCAGACCCCGTGAAGATCCGGGTGAAGAATAGGTCTTCAGCAACCCCTGCTTGCCGTAAACGGTGACTATGCTTGTCGTAAAAGGCGACTAACGGGATCGGGTGGTCAGGCTCGCTGACTTGCTTGAGGCATGTCATTGATCCCAATTGCGTGGGTCGATGCTCATGATATTAATCACTGGATTGTCTGGTCCAGACTCGATTATTTACAGACCGCTGTCATATAGCTGGAATATTGCTGAGTGCGGCGTTAAACAACAAACCAACCATCCAACCAACCCGTGCTTGAGGTCTTCGTCTGTTAGATCAGGGTTACGACATTTAGAACTATCAAAAAGCCATATGGTAGACATGTGGAGGATGTTTTTAAATTTGGCGCATCGGTGACCAAAATGAAGTTTGATGCAATTGCCTATTTAGACTTGTACCATCAGGTGAAAAATTGACTTGCCTTTGCATGTGTTTGTGGCGGGTGCCACCGTCGGGTCATAATACATCACGGCATCATCACTACTTGATAGGACCCGTGAAGATTCCGGGTTAGAATAGGTCTTCAGCAACCATTCTACCCCGGATCTTCTCGCCTTGTCACACATTGATACTGTAACACATGTTTATGATTCAGAATACCTCTTTGTGAAATGATAACAGGCTGTGTATCTGCACCCATTACGTTGTAAGAAATAAAAATAATTACAACAGAGCTAACTACGCATAAAGACCAACAAAGACAACCTACCTTTATAAAGGTAAATAAATAATACAAAAAATAGCCGCCGGAAATGATCCCAGTTGTGACGTGTGCGTACAGCGGTCTCTCGAGACAACTCAGAGGGGTCGCTGGTCGTGGCGTGCAATGTGTCAGAGCCGTGGGAAGGTCAAATTGATGATCGTTACATAATTAACACTCTCAGTTTGAGGATAGGTGGTGTTGGTAAATGATGACCGACTTGATTAAACTCATTAATATTCATCGTGTGTCTTTGGATTAGCGGAAACTTGGGAGAATGGTGACATTTACTAATCCTTGATGTTTTAATAGAACGGCGGTACACAAAGGGACGTTTATATATTGACCCATCGTCACGTGGCACTGCAGTGAGAAAATGAGTGAAGATCATCAGTGTTTTTAATACTATTTATAGTGCTTTGTTGAATACCAAACCCACCACTATGTGCATAGCAGATTCACGAATCCTTTTTTTTATCAATTTACGTAGTTATCCATTGTTTACATTGGTTGTACGGCTCCATGTGCTGTCATCGAAGCCCTTCGGACATCCAGCGACACGCTCACTTTGATGTACAGAGATAGCTTGTCATGATGCCACTGCGTCGCAGTGTGAGTTAAGGAAATACCAAATTTAACCCCCCTTTTCATAACATGGACATGTCCGACATTGCTCGGATTGTATTCAGGGAGTCCTCATTATTAAAATACGGGTAAATATTTTAACAGCTTGTAGTTTGGTTTGTTTTGGTTTGTTTGTTGTTTAACTCAGCAATATTCCAGCTATTTGACGGCGATCTGTAAATAATCTGGATCAGACAATCAAGTGATTAATATCATGAGCATCGATCCACGTAATTGAGATCGGTGACATGCATCAACCAAGTCAGCGAGCCTGACCACCCGATCCCGTTAATCGCCTCTTACGACAAGCATAGTCGCCTTTTATGGCAAGCAGGGGTTGCTGAAGACCTATTCTACCCCGGATCTTACAGCTTGTAAATTTGATTAACATCATTAAAGAGGTCGTACATAATATTGATATCTCATATAAGAGATAAACCACTCGTGGTCGTTGTTTATCGTACAATAAAACACTGCAGGGAGAATATACAATTGGTGGCTGCAGTTTATTCTCCATACAGTGTTTTATTATCCGATGAACAACCCCTCGTCGTTTATTTCTTAAATAACAGACATGGGCACAAAATAAGATAATAAATGACGTAAAGCGTGAATATATTGTCACTGGGTACAGTCTTGATAATGCCATTGATGGAATCATCAAAATGCAGCAACGATCAATAACGAAACACGAACGTATAAATACATATAACAAGAAAACAGCGCTATCACTAACCCCGCCTTGGGGTACATTTGGATGTTTTTGTTCATACAATAGTAAATAATATAGAACTGATGTCAACTATGAAAAAACAGTCCCTAAAGCCTTAAGAAAATATAGGAACGTGGGTTGCTTCATGTCATGAGAGAATCTGATCATATTTAAATTCAATATACACAAAAGACATGCGATGGCCTCCCGTTGCCAGTTAACTGACTGTAAAAGTGCAGTTTCCACCCTTTCCGATTTTGGCTGGAATGTCTGGGGTCGTAGCCATCAGTGGTTATTACGAGTTATGTCACCTCTATGTCCCTCCTACTGACCAATCAGATTCCACCTCTCATATCACTTGCATTTACTTCAACAGAAATGGCGGCGCCCAGTCATGACGATCTGATCGATAATCAAAATCTGTATTGTTATCAAACGGGTCTTACTTTGCGAATTGCATCAAATCACGTGAGTACCTTGATGATAAACATGAAACGATTTGGAAAATATCTGTTGACGCCGAGTTACACATGATTTGCAAATCCTGTAATCGACCGAAATCTGCACGGCAGTTCAAGAACCGGATGCCGATTTCGTTACTCGATTTTGATTGGATTATGCATAGACCCGTTAGTCCAGCCAAATTATTACTCCACAATTCCAGCCTACTTCGTCAGAGGTGGGAACTGGACTTGTACAGTCAGATAACTCCCATGCCTCGGGAAGATGCACGTGGCATCAAACTCAACAGATCTGAATACGAGAGGACACTATGGATAAGTTGGACCACGACAGCAGTATCCTGAACAACAAGCACGGCAACAGTTTGCACATGTTCAACAGACTGGGTTACCATTCTCCAGGTGTATACCGTACTATCGTCCAAGGTCAGGAGCATGAGATGGTGTCAGTCAGTACATGGCGCTGGTGGTGGCCACACGAGGATTTGAGTTCTCGTGACCTTGGGCTTGGCATTGTATTGTTCTGTTTGCAGTATGTCACCACGCATCAAATGTTCAGATGTGCAGCAAAAGTGCGTCATGAATAAATGGCCGAGCAAAAAGGGGCGGGGTCGCCAAAATCTATCCCAATTTTTTTCATAATTTAAATTTTATTTAGGGGGTATGGTGTATGTGCCATGAGCAAATGCTACAGTAACTGTTATTGGGATGAGTGAGTGAGTGAGTATGGTTTTACGCCGCTTTTAGCAATATTCCAGCAATATCACGGCGGGGGACACCGGATATTGGCTTCGCACATTGTTATTGGGATGATGAAAAATATAAATTAGGGGTTGGGTTGGGTAGGGGGTGGGGGCAGAAGATGATACAGTCCTCAGACCACTCTCCCACCCCACCCTCACTATATTAAATGACCAATCCCTTACGTTAAGATAAGAGAATCACAATATTCCTAAAGATATTTTTTTTCCTGAAATGCAGCCAACTTGAAACAGACGTTTAAGGTACATGTATGAAATATATTTGTTGAAAAGTATATTAATATATATATATATATATATCCACGGGTAAACTGAGAAATGTTTATTGAGAGAGGCGAAACAGCCAAGACTGTGACATGTGGTTCGATACAGTGAGGTAGATGTTGTTGTTTTTTGTGGAGGGCGACACACTGTGTTATATTTTACGTATGCTTCGATAGGGTCGTGTGTGCTCGCCGCTGACGTGTGCACGTACCCCAGCACCATCACTAAAGGAAGACGGTTCCGAGTCCACAGCAGTTTTAGTCACTCGGCAAACCTCGCCCCCTTCCGTAACTGAAAAAAGACTCGGCTGTGAATGATGGGAATGGAACAACGGATGCATATTTTTTACGTGTTAATTGTTCACCTGTGTTTAATTTCCGTCAGTCTTATATAAACGTAGTTACATATTTAGAAGTTTTTTTATTCTAAAAAGTATTCAAAAGATACTTGTACACAAAAACGTTTTGGATCAATATGAGCTACTCTGTTTGAACATGTTGAAGTTGGCACAATGTGCTCTGGTTTTTGGTTGGTTGTTTGTTGTCTAACGCCGCATTCCAGCTTTATGACGGCGGTCTGTAAATAATCGAGTTTGGATCAGACAATCCAGTGATTGACATCATGAGCATCGATCAACGCAACTGGGACACGATGACATGCATGAACCAAGTCAGCAAGCCTGACCACCCGATCCCGTTAGTCGCCTCTCTTATGACAAGCATACTCGCCTTTTAGGGCAAGCATGGATTGTTGAAGACTTATTAAACACATATTGAAATACGCATATGTCAGTATACGTGCTTGAACTTGTGAATATGCAGAAACATACATCAACCTCTGCTACAATACATAAATAATCTTGAGCTTAAGCATTTTACAGCTAAGCGCGGCTTTTAACCAAATGTACACATAAACTCATGCAGTGAGGGAGTGAGTATGGTTTTACGCCGCTTTTAGCAATATTCCAGCAATATCACGGCACTGTACCCATGTCGGGAATCGAACCCGGGTCTGAGGCGTGACGAGCGAACGCTTTAACCACTTGGCTACCCGACCGCCCCCAAATCATGCAGGTAATGCGAACATATAATATGGACGGTTGGATTAAATCGGGGAGGGTGTCATGAAAAAAGTAGGTGAAAAGGGGTTTAACGTCACAATGGTAGCGACGTGAATGCACGTGTGTGTGGCTGCTTGTAATGTATACTTGTCTAAACTTTAAGTGAATACCTCGCTCACACACAGTATACTGACTCTGAGTCGACCAGTCCTTGTTTTATCCCCTTGACGACCAGGGAGAGTAACAAATACCATCTTTTAACGTATTTGGGTATGACGCGGCTGGGGAGTCGGACCACTGACCTCTCCCGTTCTATGCAGATGTTCTATCCACTAGACCACGGAGGCGGTCCTATATACATGCATAAAATATTCATTTTAGAACAGACCTGTTCTGGAACATGCACATATGTATGCATATATTCAAACATCAACTCAAGCTTGAACCAGAATCAGGGACGTGAAAAATAAATGCTACTTTTTACTGAAGATGTTCACAGCGGCACATGTTCAGCCCTTCGTGGAACACTGGCTATCTCTCTGATCTCTATTGTTGTTTATATACATGATGCATAATAATATTAACCATATGCAGATTATAGATATACTTCTTTATTTCAGGAATCATCAAATGCACATACAGATGACATTTATCGTTTCATGCCAAAGAACATGTTCATCTCACCAAGGGACCTGACAAAGTTTGCCAGACGCAACCATTCATGGCGATATCAACTTCGTCAGACGCAACCATTCACGAAAATATCAACCTTGTTATAATCAACCATTCAAGCTTTAAAGAATAGGTTATCAATACCTGAAAATATTCTATCCTTTGTTAAAAAGAATAAGTTTGTTTGTTTGTTTGTTGTTCAAAGCCACACTCATCAATATTACAGCTAGCTGTAAGTAATCGAATCTGGACATGACAATCCAGTGATTGACATCATGCGCATCGATCTACGCTACTGGGATACGATGACATGCATCAACCAAGTCAGCGAGCCTGACCACCCGATCCCGTTAGTCGCCTCTTCCGACAAGCATGGGTTGCTGGAGATCTATCTTCACGGGTAAAAATAAAATGTAAAAATGAATAAAAATAAAATTCTAAAGTGTTTTCATCCTACTAATTTTACGAATGGCCAGTCATTGGAATTGAAACATTAAGTGAGTGATTATATCCATTTAAAGTGTAACCTTGTTTGTACGGACGCAGTAAGGTCGGATAAACCATAACATCCGTTAGACTTCTAAATATATATACTTCATGTTTATACTTTATGCAATGAATACGTCACTGACGTATGACATTAATGACGTGTCACAAATGAGAGGGCGCTACGGTGGCCTAGTGGATAAAGTGTTCTTGTTATGCCAGAGCCTCGGGTTCGATTATCCAAATGAGTACACTGGTGTGGCATTGCTGGAATTTTGGATATTTGGCTATATAAGACCACACTCACGAACTCACAAATACTTGTTTCTGCAATTAGCATTGAAGTCATAATAACATCATAACCACACGTTTGTACCAACTTAGATGAATAAGATGAATATCACAACGCAATTGTTTCAGGGTATCAACTCAATAAAATTTGTTAATGAAAAACGCGAGTTACTGAATTGTGTGTAACGCCGCTTTGAACAGTATTCCATGACGTCAGAAAACACGATGTGTCATACCACGACATGTCACACCACATGTCATACCACGACATGTCACACCGCATGTCATACCACGACATGTCACACCACATGTCTTACCACGATATGTCACAGCACATGTCATACCACGGCATGTCATACCACATGTAATATCACGGCATGTCATACCACATGTCATATCACGGCATGTCATACCACATGTCATACCACGACGTGCTATGCAGTATATCATTACACCACATGTCATACAACGTCATGCCATACCACGACGTGTCATACCATGACATGTACCACGACTTGTCGTGCCACGACGTATCATACCACGACGTGTCATACCACAACATATCATACCATGATGTCACACCACGACGTGTCATACCACGACATGTACCACGACGTATCATACCACGACGTGTCATACCACAACATATCATACCATGATGTCACACCACGACGTGTCATACCACGACATGTACCACGACGTATCATACCATGACGTGTCATACCACAACATGTAATACAAGGATGTTACACCACGTGTCGTACCACAACATGTCATACTACGACAGATCATTCCACGATGTCATACCACGACGTGTCATACAATGACGTGTCATATCACAACATGTCGTACCACGATGTCACACCACATGTCATACCACGACTGAGAGATTCTCTATATTGTTATGTTGTGTGAATCGATGCTCATGAACACATCACATGTGACGTCATAGATCAATGACTCGCAATGTACCATTTGTCTCGTGCAGGATTAGCGTGGAAAGTTTGGAAATCACGTGCAGCATACTGTGATAAGTATGAAGACACTCTTCAGTAACACCGATTGTTAGTTTCGTCATTAAGTGAGTGGGTGAGTAAGTGAGTTGGGTTTAACGCCACTTTTAACAGTATTCCAGTTATTTCGCGGCGTTTCAGCTTAATGTAGGAAGAAAGCCCGAAGTGATGCAGGTCACAGACGTTTACCTCTTCGGTGAAACCCAAGATCACGGGTATGGTGCTGACAAACCTAGAAACATAAAAACCGGGATTCGAACCCACAATCATAGGTTTCTGGCGTGCCGAAGGGGCGCAACTCTGCACAGCGAATCGCGGCGACACCCCCTTTAAGAGTCCGGGGCTTTGATCAGCCTGTCCCCGAGGAAGTAATACATCACAAACAGAACACTTGACAGAAATATCACAGACGTCACACCGCCAATTATGTACAGAACAGTGGACCTCTTCGCGTTTTTTCTCGCGAGATCTTCCTCATCGGAAATGAACTGTATGTCTGACCTCTGCATGAGAAACACGGCTGGGTAGCAACACAGGAAGCAAAAGAAGATGAAACATGGGCAATGGAGGGTGCTGTGGAACCTGTGGTTGAGCTTGTTGTGGGGGTTGGGAATGTGAAGCCTCATATCCACCGACATGGGTTCCACTACCTCGGATACGTGGCTGTTCTGGACCCGTGGAGAGACAGTATCGCCGATTTGAATCCGGTGATGTCTGTTGTTTCTGGAATGGTGGCGCCCAATATTATTCAAGTTGTCATGGCAACGTTCGCGGCCATCTTGTCTGTGTGTTCTAGCAGGGTCGGACCGACGCGTGGAAGGTGTATCATTCATGTTGTTTTTATTATGAATACCTGGATGTGGTCTGTTCATTTTGCATTTATATCGATAAGCATGGATTGTTGATTTGAAAGGCTGTTTCTGTCTGTGTTTAATCTGCCTTTTTTCAACCGTCTTGTGAAAATGGCACAAACCGGAAGTATTGAGACCGGAAAAGTTAACACCGGAAGTATTGAGACCGGAAGTACTGAGACCGGAAGTATGGAGACAGAGTTCCTGCACGTGGTAGCTGTACTGCCAAGGGCACTTCGTTGTTCTTCCTAGACCAAAGTAAACGTTTGGTAAAGATGTTGAACGACAAGATGAGTATTCTTGAGAGCGACGTGGTTTTACATCTACAATGAAGTAAGATCTTTGTCGTTGACTTCTAGGTACTGCACCGGTTTTCAGCGGAACATGTTGCGAAACCGACTGGGTTGTTGACTGCTTTACTCTGACCATGGGAATACGTTCATTGATGACGTTCTGCATGTCGGACGCCAACTCATCACCATTCACGAGCATGTCATTAGAACCACAGTATTTGGTTTGGGAATTATCTCGTATTGGAATTGAGACACCATTTACGCGCCAGTCGTCGTCGATACGTGATCTGGTATCCTGTTTGTCTTCGGTATTGCCATTTACTGGAGCGTGATTGGAACCAGAAGACTCTTCATCACTTGAGAGCGAGGCAGATGCTTCTTCAGAAGCACCCGATTTCCTCCTGTGTACATCCCCTAGAATCAGTTGACACGGCAAGGACTCCAGCAAAGGGTATTGGTTGTCATAGTTGGAACAATTTGTATATCTCACTCCATTATTATAACCAGTCTGGATTTCGCCTCTCTCGACCTGAACCATTTTCGGAGTGATCTCATTATTATCCAGTTCAGACAGTTTACACTTTTTCGAATCAAAGCTTAAAGTCTTTAAAGAAGAGTTGGTAAGGTTGAACTGGCTGTTTGCTTGCCCGCAAGTTAGCGTTGTACGTTTAGCGGTTTGTTTACCTTCATAAGGAGGACTGACTTCTTCACTGACCTTTTCGCATGACATATTTGCGATAAAAAAATTTCCACCTGTTAAGAAAACTTGGCTTTGAATGTTTGCATCCGTGTGGCTAAAACCAGAGATTGTTGAACCAAATGATCCAGTATCAGTTTCATGTTCATTATCCGAAATGCTATCCAGAGTAGTCTCCCTTTCCACCGAGCAGAACGACCTCTCCGTGACGTCATCATCCATACAGAACGTATCATACGCACTGAGCATCACGGGCGACACATCCCCGTATTGTTGCATCTCTAATGAACAGTAGTCGGTAATACACGAATCCGTTTCCGAGTTCGAATCCACATTCATCCGAATAAGCCGCCCAGGACGAGGAGACAAACTTGCAATCCCTACGGTCCCCGCGTGTAGGGAGGAGATCTCGGTGACAAGTGATTCACAGTCGGTTCCACATGACCTGTCCTCATAAGTATCTGTAAATCCGGTGTCAGATTTGTCGGAGGGGCTGCTGTAACTTTGACGTTCAGGTCCTTCATTCAAATCCGGACTTATACTATCACCGTCGTTTAGTGATTTACGGGGCCATGTTGAGTTTGAATTTTTTTGTCCGGATTGTTCACACAATCGTGTAAGAGCTCTGTCAGAATTATCCATCATTTTGTCAAACACCACAGAACGCATATCTCTTCTTTTCTTAAATTTCTTTAATTTGTTTGTCTTCAAATTCGCATTGACCTTTCTTGTGCCATCGCCCTTCAAAAAAGAGGTCAAGTCATTTGGTTCAAACTCATTGGTCAAATGGATGGAGTTGCCATACGGCATATCACAGTATGGAAACATGCCTGACTTCATTGTATCGGATTCGTCTCAGTCAATGACAGCAGCCATGGTGCATCATGGTCATTCTGTTGATCTGCGTCAACACAACGAGTCTTTGGCTTCAGACATGTTCATCACAGACACTCTCTTACGCATCCCAAGGTCAATGTTCGTTCTCTGATTCTTTATTCATCTCACTGTTAAGAACCTCGTCCCATGTATCCCAAATTACGAGACACAAATATATATAGTTGTGTTTCTTAAAGTCTACATTCCATTTTGTCTTCTCTGTCTCTGGTATCCAGTCGAGTACGTCTCTTCTGAAAATATGAAGACATGTTACGCATGAAGATCTGTTTCCGCGCAGGGATATGAATTATGTGCACACCCCGGTTCACAAATACGCCATGCACTTAATAACGTGACGCTGAGCTGATATACGGTGGCAGTTTATGTCATTTGGGATCTGAGACTGAAGTACTTGAATAATTATTACATTTCGTAAACGACATAAACAAATGCGATCATGCTAACTCATAAGATATGCAAGACAGAGACAGAGAGAGACAGAGAGAGACGGAGGGAAAGAGATAGAGGGGAGAAGGAGAGGGGAAGAGGGAGAGAGAGAGAGACAGAGAGAGAGACAGAGACATGGAGAGTGAGACACAGAGAGAGAGAGGGAAAGAGATAGAGGGGAGAAGGAGAGGGGAAGAGGGAGAGAGAGAGACAGAGAGAGAGAGAGACAGAGAGAGAGAGACAGAGACATGGAGAGTGAGACAGAGAGAGAGAGAGGGAGAGAGAGGGGGAAAGAGAGATAGAGGGGAGAAGGAGAGGGGAAGAGAGAGAGAGAGAGACAGAGAGAGAGAGAGACAGAGAGAGAGACAGAGACATGGAGAGTGAGACAGAGAGAGAGAGAGGGAGAGAGAGGGGGAAAGAGAGATAGAGGGGAGAAGGAGAGGGAAAGAGAGAGAGGGAGAGAGAGAGAGAGAGATAGAGGGGAGGAGAGAGAGAGAAACAATTAAGCATGACTAAGTCGTATTACAGTGTTACAGCAATGCCGTATGTTACATAAAAACAATATGTTCGGTGAAATAAAAACGAGAAAACAATTTCCATCATCATTAAGAAATCTCGTCTGAAAGAGTCCATGAACGATTCCGACTGTATCATAAGCTGTGTTTATGAATCACTATCAAATGGATGACACCAGGTATTCGTGAATCGTGTCGTTCAAAACCATATTGTCCGGATTAACAAATTGCCGGATTTAAGAATTATTGTAAAGCAGTAATCTTGTTCGTATATATGAAGATGTTCCTAATAGAATCGTCCACAAAGCAGGGTGTCCACACTAGTGGGGTGTCACTGTGTAGAGGTGATACATGTGACCGTAATTTGCGCTGTGGCAAACCGCCGCTGTATCTATGCTGTATTTTCCATTGACTAAATTTTCTATTTTTCTGAGTCTGGATCGTGTGTCTATATATCTTAGTGGGACATGCAAGGTAATATAAGTGTCAAAGTTAATCCTGCTTCAGTTTGTTGCATTCTCGTCTCGCAGTGGTATTTGAAACTCCCACGGAGAAGGAAGCATCGTTTGAATGACAGACGGGAGCAATTGTGATTTACTGAAAATTTAAGTCGGTCACCTCAGGGTGTGGAACCAACAACAGAAACCAGGTGATGCCTTTGCAATTAGGGAACGCCCTATTTAAATTATGGGTGATCACTGTTTTATTTAATCTTTTATTTTATGTCCAGAATTAGTGGAAATATAATTGTGCCTCAAAATAAAACAACACTGTTCATGCTTGATGACCTCATACAAAAAAAAAGAATTGTGAAACTGACTATTTTAGTTTCCTTGCTTCGGGGGCACGGGTGGCCCAGTCGTCTAAGGCGCCGCGATTCGCTGTGCAAAGTTGCGTCCTCTGGGCACGCCAGAAACCTATGATTGTGGGTTCGAATCCCTGTTCGCCCCGATTATGTTTCTAGGTTTGTCAGCACCATACCCGTGCTCGTGGGTTTCACCGAAGTGGTAAACGTCTGAGACCTGCATCACTTCGGGCTTTCCTCCCACATTAAGCTGACACGCCGCGATATAACTGGAATACTGTTAAAAGCGGCGTAAAACCCAACTCACTCACACTCCTTGCTTCAAATTAAATTTTACATGTGTTGAAAAAGATGTTTCTGACAAGACTTCCAAAGAAAGATGTCTATAACAAGGCCTTTCAAAGCGTTGTTGTTTGACCTGCATCATATGTTCCTGTGAAGTTTTGACATGCCGTTGCATGTATTTGTGCAGTATATGCTCACCTTTTCGCGAACACCTTTGATAGTGCAATGCCATAATCGGACTCGTACAGTGTATGTTTTAGCAGATATTTGTAACGACTTAAGACAGTTTTTGTCGCTTTTATTTACCAAACCCGGAAAGCGGCTTCGTTTGCAACATAACGTGTACAGGCAGCCCCGTGCCTGTAACGCCTTCGTCCACGCCAGCACAAAGTAGATGTATACTGTACAGAGTTACCTCCCCGTAGCTGATCTGTTGGCTATGGGACTCTGTAAGGGACATTCTCGCGCTCTCGCATTCTTGTGTTTTTGGCATATTTAGCTCGTTTCCAAAGGTCGAGATCGCGAGAATGTCCCTTACAGTATTCCATAGTTGGCCGTAATTTCGAATAAAGAAATATAATCGTTGGCCAAGCAATCCTTGTACAAACGTGGTACAATGTCGAGGATCTGTTTTTCTGATAACAAAGGGGCGGTTGGGTAGCCTTGTGGTTAAAGCGTTCGTTCGTCACGCCGAAGAGGTTCGATTCCCGACATGGGTACAATGTGTGAAGCCCATTTCTGATGTCCCCGGCGTAAAACCATACTCACTCACTCACTCTGATAACAAAACTTGTCCATGTATTTACGTTTTGAAACAACGTTTCAAAAAGATAGATCATCGGTAATACATCACGGGTTTGTACGTAGCTTCATCATCCGGGAACATTCGGCTTTATTCGCATTCGTGACCAACTCGTGTTATTCCGGGACAAGCCGAATCTTCTTGCAGGTTACGGAAAGGGGCGAGTGGTGACGAATGCTTTGGTGTAGTTTTGTCACGTGTCTAGTTTCAGTCAGCTGATGAAAAGAGGCTGTGTATAACGGTCGGAAATCACGGAAACCCTTCTCCGTGCATCACTCTCTCGCGAACCCTCCCATAGCCAGACATCACAGACCCCATAGGTGAAACCCACAAGCACGACTACGGTGTTGTCAAATCTTGGAAGGTAATTTGAGAGAAGAAAGCATTGGAAACAAGTCATAGGTTTCTGTCACACCCAAGGGACATAACTCCAAAGAGCAACTAGCAATGTCCAAGGCGACCCCTGCCCCCTGGCCTCCCAAGCTATAAATGGCCTGGGCTGTCATTAACGCCATGTGGACTGTATGTCCCACGTGGAGCCCCCATTCACTCAGGACCTATTTATAAGGTCGCGGCAGATATTTTCATGTATGTCGTATTCAGAGATCATTGTCGGTTGTATACAACATTTTCCACTTTTAAACACTAGCTTTTCCCTTGACCCAACGTCTTAAAACTGAAGTAAACGACAGTCGTAATATGATGAAAAGTAAACCTAATGTTACATCAGGATCTCCGTGCTGGCTTTATGCGATCCAGCGACAGAGTCTATTCTCAATATGTATGCGGTTGGGTGGGGGTGACCTTAGGGTCCGTCGGGGTAACCTGAAAGGTCCGGGGGGTGTTACCTTAAGGTCCATTCGGGGTGACCTAAAGGACCTTTTGGGGTAAGCTAAAGGTCCAGGGGGTTATCCAAAGGTCTGGCGGGGGTAACCTAAAGGTCCGGTGGGTGTGACCTAAAGGTCCGGTTGGGGTGACCTAAAGGTCCGGTTGGGGTGACCAAAAGGTCCGGTGGTTGTGAGCAAAAGGTCCGATAGGGGTAACCTAAGGGCCCAGTTGGGGTGACCTAAAGGTCCGGTTAGGGTGACCAAAAGGTCCGGTGGTTGTGAGCAAAAGGTCCGGTGGGGGTGACCTAAAGGTCCGGTTGGGGTAACCTAAAGGTCCAGGGGGCGTCCTAAAAGTCCGGCAAGGGTGACCTAAAGGTCCGTTTGGGGTAACTTAAAGGTCCGGTGGTGGTGACCTAAAGGTCCGGTTGGGGTGACGTAAAGGTCCGGTGGGGGTGACCATAAGGTCCGGTAGTGGTGACGTAAAGGTCCGGTGGGGGTGTCCTAAAGGTCCGTTTGGGGTGACCAAAAGGTCCGGTGGTGGTGACCTAAAGGTCCGGTTGGGGTGACCTCCAGGTCCATGGGGTGATCCAAAGGTCCGGTGGGGGTAACCTTATGCTCCGGTTGGGGTAACTTAAAGGCCCGATAGGGGTCACCTAAAAGTCCAGGGGGTAACCTAAAGGTCCGGTTGCGGTAATTTAAATGTCCAGGAGGTGACCAAAAGGTCCAGGAGGTGACCAAAAGGTCCGGTGGAGGTAACCTAAAGGTCCGTTTGGGATGACCTAAACGTCCGGTGGGGGTAACCTAAAGGTCCGTCGGGGGTAACCTAAAAGTCCAGGGAGTAACCTAAAGGTCCGGTTGGGGTAACCTCAAGGCCCGGTGGTGGTGACCTGGAGGTCCGGTGGGGGTGACCTAAAGGTCCAGGGGGTTATCCAAAGGTCCGGCGGGGATAACCTAAAGGTCCGGTGGGGGTGACCTAAAGGTCCGTTTGGGATGACCTCAAGGTTCGATGGGGGTGACCTAAAGGTCCGGTTGAGGTGACCTAAAGGTCCGGTGGTGGTGACCTAAAGGTCCGGTGGGGGTAACCTAAAGGTCCGGTGGGGGTGACGTTAAGGTCCGTTTGGGGTGAGCTAAAGGTCCGGTGGTGGTGACCTAAAGGTCCGGTGGGGGTAACCTAAAGGTCCGGTGGGGGTAATTAAAAGGTCCAGGAGGTGACCAAAAGGTCCAGGAGGTGACCAAAAGGTCCGGTTGAGGTAACCTAAAGGTCCGTTCGGGATGACCTAAACGTCCGGTGGGGGTGACCTAAAGGTCCGGTTGGGGTGACCTAAAGGTCCGGTGGGGGTGACCTAAAGGTCCGTTTGGGATGACCTCAACGTTCGATGGGGGTGACCTAAAGGTCCGGTTGAGGTGACCTAAAGGTCCGGTGGTGGTGACCTAAAGGTCCGGTGGGGGTAACCTAAAGGTCCGGTGGGGGTGACGTTAAGGTCCGTTTGGGGTGAGCTAAAGGTCCGGTGGTGGTGACCTAAAGGTCCGGTGGGGGTAACCTAAAGGTCCGGTGGGGGTAATTAAAAGG